GGAAAAAAAAAATAAAAATCTTTCCTGTTTACTGTGTGGATGTCTGCCACGGCATTTCCCGTAGCATCAATATTCCTGGGGAGGGGGAACTCTATCAGTGTCAGAAGTGTTTCGTCAGACTAAGGTTAGATACAAAACAGAAATAGAAGCTCAAGCAAAATTCTACAAAAACCTCTGCTCTGTTTTACTGCCACTATGAGACAGCAGCAAAAAGAGTAAGATAAATGAATGGCTTCATCCGTGACGTAGGCTATGCAGGATCAACTAAATTCAGGAAATTGGTAAAAGGTCTTGCAAATGAAAAACCCTCTTGATCTCACTCTGTAGTCCTTTCTTATCACTTCCTAACCAGCTCCATAATACAGCTTCAGAAGAAAAGCACCAGGATCCGCAAACACATTCATTTCAACTATGCCAATTCTGCGTAGAGACACTGTCCAAAGCACTTCAGAAAGCTCTTCTGCATGATAAGCGTTACAAGACACTGCTATGAGACAGAGGGTGATTCTGTACGAGGCCATTCAGGGCAAAACTTACCGTGCAGGAAGAGTGGGGAGCTGAGACTTCAAATCAGCCTCACTACTTTAGGCTAGCCAGTGGGTGAAAGAAGCTGTCCCTATATCCAGAGCCTTTCATTTCAGTTCCACCCTCACCTTACCCTGACACACCACACCATTTACTTTGTTCGAGGCTTTTCAGGTACATAATACTGCATGCAACCTATTACTCTCAGGGCAGAAAGAAACTAAGGTCTCCTTTCCACAATTCCAGCCCATTAACTCAGTATTTGGTACACACCCTGTTCTCTGTGCTTTACATGAACCTTGGAAACAAAGCCCTGCAGAAATTTCTGTTTCATCACAACAGCTAGCCCTAGCAGTATGTCCCTTGCAGCAAACAGAGCTTTCTGGAAGGGCTGGTCACAACAGCACAAACCCAAGTATATTTTGTAAAACTTGTTTGTGACAACAGCATGCAGTAGTTAAACCGAAACAGTTGCCCTGGAAACCTGCTTCTGGCCAAGTCGTCTTAGCAATGCTAAGTTCCTTCAGTGAGGAGGGAGACCAGGAACATTTGGAGACGGTGCTGAGAACTAGAGACAGGACTCGGGTTGAATGCTCTAGCCCAGGCTCAACGTCTTTCTCTGAGAACGGAAGGGTCCTGCAGAGTCATAAGGACACAAGGCCACTTTGAGGTCTACAAATGGTGGATACCCTGTTTACTGAGCATGAACAGTACAAGAGATCTTCGAAGCAAATCAATGTATTAGGTAGATAAATACACAGGATTTTTTTTTCATCTTTTTTTTTCACCTATTTTATAAATATCTGCTAATGTGTTGTCCAGAATTTTGCTTTACAGTTCCCTGAACCTACCTTGTATTTTCAGGGTATTGACAGCTGTCAAAGCCCTATATTGCTTTGGACTAGCAAACCTTAAAAAATTTAGGCACAGGATTATTTTTTTACAATTCAGCATCTGAGTATCTCCATAATTCCCAAAAGGTAGCAAATAATTCTGCACTAGCTGCACTGCTGTTTGACAGCGGCAAAGCAAGGGTCTGTGTGGAAGTGCCTGTCAACAGCAAGGTAAACGCTCCAGCAGCAGGAGGGCGCACGGGAAAGTGGATCCCTTTGCAGTTTGTGACAGTGTGAACTTGAAATAGGTGATAAAAAAAGAAAAAAAAAAATTTTTTTTTTTTTTTTTGGTAAAAAAAGAATAAACTTACGTTGGGAAAACACACCATAAGCAGTGAACTGCAACTACAGGGAAAAACAGGCACTACCTTTTTAAAGGACTCCGTTACGTTTTGAATCCCTTTCTCCTGTGGTTTACTCGTGGTATAAACATACATATACACACACACACTTCCCATCCCTCACTTCCACTCCCAATAATAGCAAAAATAAACATGAAAAATATTAAAAAACTCTGTATTCAGTAATATTCACACCAAAGTATATGTATAGATATATCCATTAAAATTATGAACATTTCTAAATATATTTTATGTATCATACATATATTTATATGTATAATTACATATCCACAGAAGTAGTCTTGCTGTGCTAAAGCCAGCAGTAAAAGCAAAACCAGGTTTCACAATAGGACACCCATATATGCATAATGTACTGGCTGTTTGGTTTGTGAATTTATTTACAACTGAACTATATCATAATAAATGCTTACTGTTCTATTGTACAAACGTAATAGTAAAGGTTTAGGTTTGTTTTTTAAATACAAAGACTGCAAATGAATACATGAAAAAAATTACACACCATGTACAGTATTTATAATTTATAAATGCAAAGTTAAGACCTCTTTAAATTATTGCACTTGCATATTTTTTTACAAAGATAGTTTATATGTATCATATATATATATGTGTGTGTGTAAATATATATATATATAAAACAAATTTTTCAGCTCACTAAATGTAGTAAAGTTGAATGTTGTTACCTTGAAGTTCGTTCTTCTTCACATAACAGCCCAACCTGAATTTTGAATATATATGAATCTACTCTACAAATCAGTTTGATCTACCCTAGAAAGCAGTCTGTTATTTTAGGTTTTTTGACAGAGTATACACCCGTATTACAATCGAGCACAGTTTTTGGTCAGAAAGCAAAACAAGAGTTATGATGTGCCTTTGCTAAATTGGGATATATAAGCTAAAGTTTGAACATGAACTTCCTTGTAGTAGTGTGCAGAAAGCCTTTTCTGTGTTTAGAATGAACAAATTAATTGTTCCACTTCACAGAACTGTTCCTATATCACAGTGTTGGAGGCAAATGCATTATTTCAAGAGGGTCATAATTGTTTTGAGCATCTAACAATCTCTATTTTTTAACAATAATAGTGCTATTTTCTATCCCTACAATTTTAACTTTTAACTTAAATTTTAATTTTAATTTAGAATGCTCTAAAGGCAGTCACAGCAAACTGATCATACCGTTCTAATTTTAAACACATGAAAGAAGTCTGTGCCACATGAAAAGATGAATACCACACCGCACGTCCCCTCCAATGTAAATATGTTTTATCATATACTCCAACTACAAAATCCCATTGCATTTCTCTAATGGTCAGTTACAAAAAAAAATAATACTGCCGTGAGTTGAACCATTACAGCAGAATGTTGCACGAGCATATAAAATTCATAGATTAATTATAACAATGGAGTTTCTGTCAGTGCTGTAATAAAATATGCAGCATCTCAGATGAGTATCATGCTATGTCAACTATTTTTCTCACTTAGTGCATACCTTTCAGGCACCATTTTGTAACACATTAGAAATGCTCAGGTATGGCTTCAAACAGTCCTTTTACCATTACCAGGCTTAGAGGGGAAAAGCAATTGGAATTATTAACAAAAATAATGCAGTTCTAGGAGTATAAAGTCTAACGCTTCCAGGAAAGAAGAGATGTTAGGTTTTTTATACATTCTTGTTGATCTTGGGCAAGATCAGTTTTAGCAGGATAAAAATGCAAGCAAGAACGGCTTTTGGCAGTTTAGCTTAACGAGCCAGATGTCTTACAGATCTAGATGTCTTACTCTATTTGTGAGTTCAAGTCCAGAGTTTTGAACAATTAAATCTCAATGTACTTGAGCCATGAAATTCAAATGTGGCTTCGAAGTTTTAGGTTTTGGTGGGTTTGACTTTGGAAGTGCAGGTGTAATTTTGTTTCTACAAAAAATTTACACATCTGAATCTGTACTCTGTAAATGCTAAGCCAGACTAAATTTGCTTAGAAAATACAGCCCCTTGTGGCTATTTTTGTTGGTCTAGGTGCTAAAAAAGAGTAACATTTTGTCACGACCTTTCTCCTTTTACACACCAGGAAAACAAACCAAACCACCACAACTGGAGCCAACATTTTTAATTCTAATGGATGTGATACTATGGCAAACGTATTTTATGTGGTTTGGATAGTGCTATATCAGAAACAATACCTGATTGACTTGATACATTAATAGTACAATTTACTGCCAATCTGACAAATTTGCTAGGGAAACATGTTCTGTATCAGTACTTATAAACTTCAAAACCTAAAATATTGTGCGATACTCCCAAATATTTTGAATGGTAAGCAACAGAACTGGTGAAGTTATCTTTACTGTCAATGAGTAAAAGGTGAATTAAAAGCTTTCCATACACACAGACACAGTGTGATAAGGAGTATTTTTGCAATGCTTTAAGATCAGCATTCAAAGCAACAGAATAACAGCAAATATACTTAACTCATGAAGGAAAAACACTCCATTCAGTTGTTGGGGTATCCGAATTTCAGGGAGTATTTTTGTAGTCACCATAGATTTTTTTGATAATTTACATGTAAATTAGGAACCGTGGATTGTGTCTCAAGTACTTAGCGGATGAAAGGTTGCATCTGCATGATTTAGTTAGAACTGCTAAGGAGTAAAGCAGAGGACACAGCATGAGATACTATTCGTTCCACTTCGGTGTCATTCTTTCCTGTCATTTTCTTTTGTTCCAAAATAGTTTGCTGTGGTTAACAATGAATTTCTGCACTTAGAATTGGTAAAGCAAACTGAAAAAAATTACGTGGCTGCTGCTGGGTAACCTGTGTCATACAAATAACATAACTTCATATTGAATTCTCAACCTCTGGGATATCTATGTACTGCAAAGGCTTAGGTGCATTTATACGTTATGTGATTACGTATCACATACTGTACAGATGTACAGATACTGCTATGTGCTCGACCATAACAGAAGGCAGAACTCAAGAGTCCGAGCCATTTACATGAAACCCCTAAGATGGCATGCTTATTAGAGCAATACAGCTCAACAGACATGAGATGGAAAAAGAGAACCTGTGTTCTGTCTTTAAGTCCCTACCATTATTTGTTGCCGTTACACAAATGGCTGTGTTATCATGGAACCACTACAAGAGTGTATTATCTGTGAAAAAGCATATAATGCAACATAGGCTGTATGTGAATGGTACGCAAAGACTGTGTTTTCACCTACTGCGTGGATCAACATGAAGATTTTGTCCTCATTATTTTTAAGAGAAAGATGAAGGCAAATTAAGCGTTGTTGAAACATACTCTGTACAATTGCACTCAATTTAAAAGAGTGGCATTAAATGTAAGGTCTTAAAGTCTGTGCATAAGTTTGTAAGGCTGAAGCCTAAGTCAGCACAGAACTGTAAACACACTATTTTAGAGTACTTTTCTTCAGTCAGCTATTCTTTCACTAAGATAGGCAGTTCTAAGCCTGGGAATTTTGCTGAACTAGAGGGAAAAAAAGCAAACAGACACATGGAGAAGTTTCCTAATTTCACTCATCTTGGGATGGGGGAAAAGAGCAGTAGAAGACATGCGGTGTTACTGTGCAACACAAAAGCTAGTCAATACAAAACCATTTTTGATTTATTGTGATGGTACCACAATACCTCTTATCAGACCTGATTTTTCTGACAAGGCTTTTGTTCCCAGCAGATAGCATACTTCAGGTATGTCTCTAATACTTTTTAAAATACAACTCAGCAGGCAGAAATAAAAATGATGACTTTACTTAATTGTGACCTAGGCAAGGAAATCTTTGCTGTCACCTTTAAATTTTAATCTGATACTTCTGTCACTATGGATACAAAAACTCCAACCTGAAACTCTCTTTCATATTGGAGATAAATATCCAGTACTTCCAGTGTTTTGAGGGAGGAGTTGTCTAGGTTTATAAATCATTCTGAAGAACAAAGCACCGTCACTAGTTCTTTCAACGTTTGCCTTGCCTTGTGAGTGACAGACTATTTGCATCATGATGCTTAATGAAGTACTTCAAAACTTTAACCTGAATGTTTGTTTTCCTTTAGTTTGCAGCAAGAGAATTCACTGTAACCTAAGCATGAATTATAGTCTCCAAGGATTCTGCTGGAGTTCAAACTGATTACAAGTAGATCACACATAAACATTCACAATAGCAATGGGTATATTGTTCTATTTATAGCCAAGAACTCCCAAGTGACACTGGTGTTAAAGCCAGCCACAGTACGGTATAATAAAAGTACCATTGAAACCCTTACTAGAAAGATACAATTTAGAAGTACCCCCTAAGATTTTCCCCCACCCGCCCCGTCAGTTTTAAATTAAGGCCTCAGCAATGTAGCCCATGAGATAAGTCTTTTATATTCACAAGTCGTAAGTTCTCTTTTGACAGCTGACTCCAAAACATCTGGGTTGTCGTTTTCCCTCTGTTCATGTCGTGTCACTGGTGGAGGTCAGGAGGTTGGCTGCCAGAGTCATTTAGCCGAGGTAACTCCATGGGCGTTACCTTCCTAGGCAGATTGGCTTCTTAGTTAGCATTTTGTAGCTTTTCTTCTTCCTTCCCTCAAGCCCCCAAATAAAAATGAAACAAAACAAAAAACAGCCCCCAAAACAAGAAGGGATGCTTTTCAGGTTGAAGCAATCCGTTGCTGCTGTTCAGTCATCGATCTTCACAGGAAGCGAATCTGAGGTCCCAGGAGCAAGGGACTGCGAGGGAATCCATATAGAGGCTTCCTCACCTCTTGTTACTTTCTCCCATTGGTTGAGATTGTCCCTGAAGGTACAAAAAAGTCAGAGGTAAAGCACTGTTCGTAAGTTTACTAGGACTTCTTCCTAACAATACTGTCTGCTCTACTATACTTTGAGATGTAGCTTTATGCTGCATGCAAGTACCTGTATGTAATCAGGCTTTTATCATCTTTACATTATTTCATCCTTCACCTTCAGTTATCCCATTTTGTAATTCTGTGTGGCTCGTATACATGTTGACTGTATATAAGCCCACAGCATACCCTCCCCAGAACAAGCCCTGGAGCTAGAGGCTAGTACCTGCCTCCATTACAAATTTCTAGCCCTCACGGCTGCGGAGAAAACCCAGCTGTGACCCAAGGGAGACATGTCTGCAGACACTCTGAAACAGCAATCTGGAGACAAGTGGCCTTCCTCCCTTCTTCGGACTTCAGGGATTTTACCGCAGCATACTTTGGCCCTTTTCAAAACCACCACTGAGATCAGGACTCTTGCCAGGAAACTTGCTCCACTGGAAACCACAGAAGCGCATTAAGCTTTCTGAAACTCCCGCACGTGGGCTGCCCGATAAGTGTATAAAATGTCACATGCCAACATCACAGTATCACCTTTCAATTACTAATGTGGTGATCATACTATCAATCTACTAAATTTAAAGAGTACCCCTTCCTCAAGACAGAAATTTTTTTTAGTGTCTCACAGCCTGGCCAACCCCCAAGTCCAAATTTTGGTTCGCAAGCTGTAACATGATGAAAAATTAAGGTGGTAATGTTCTACAGATCTGAAGCTCAGATCCATACAGACCCATAATCTTACTCGCTGTACACTAGTTCCACTCTGGTGACTTGGAAGTCTATGTTGATGACATCCAACAGCGGACCATACTTGCAACCTATGGCTAAATCTAGCATTCAGTCTTCAAATACAGAAAGAGCGAGCTCAACTGTTTCAATTCCATACTATCAGATACCTAGTTACTAAAACAACAGTTCTTAGAAGTCTTCAGTAAACAAACAGGATGGTAAAAGTACTAAGGTCCTACATGCTGTGTGTCGTATTATCTTATTACATCGGCATTTATGTGGCAGAGCTCTTCTGATTTTTATGTCACAGCTTTGCCGAAACAGTTGATAGAACAGCAAATAATGAGCTGGAAAGACAGAGGACAGGTAAGAAAAGAAAATGTTGCATTTTCTGGGGATGAGGAAAGGCAGGATCTGATGGAGTCTACCAAAGAAAGCTGGTGCCCTTTAGGGGAACACCTCTACCATTTTCTGCAGCAGATGGAAACCTGCTCTACCAGTGCTCCAGGCCAACTGGAAGTCATGAAGCCATCGCAAATATGGCCCTGAATCTCAGCTTATACAATCGGGCACTAAGGATCGGAACAACTGAACCGTCACTATTTCTAGGTCCCTCTCCTGAAACTGGGAAAGTAATGAAGAGAATTGCAGCCAAAATATTTTAAAATTATATCAACTTCAGCGAGAATTAAGAGACCTGAAAGCACATGGAAAATTGTTTAAAATTATTGGGTCTGGAATAAAGGAAAAAAATTTATCACTTCACCTCATCCTCAAAATAAATATACTATCATAGATTTGCCACTTTGGTAGGCCTACTGAGTACATGGGCTACAAAACACACATAGGACTTATTCTGAACACTGTAACACAGGTGGCTGGTAGTTTTGATCTGCACAGAATGACAAGAGAGTATTTAAAAATGTGGAATAAATTACTGGACAAGAAAATCTTCTAGATCCTTAGCTGCTACCTTACCTCAGGGAAATCAGTGACTGATACTTTTTTCTTTTTTTTTTTAAAAGATGTAGATAATAGGATTCATTTGCCTTTGTGCTCCCAATGAAGCCCTGGCTCCTAAGTGTCTGGAATAAATGCCCAGAGGCTCTCAAAACAAAAACCTTGATGCTGACATCCTGCCTTGGCTGCTTCTGCTGCTATTATTTGCAGCTGGTGTCTGTGTTCCAAACAACTCAAGGACGCAGCAGCTTAAACACTGCGTTCCAAGAACGAGCACTGCTGGTAAAGGGGTGATATTGAAATCGGTTCAGCCAGCAGCTGAGGCAATACCAAACAGGGATGAGGCTGTATTCCTCTCATCACACTCAATAACAGTCACCCGTCAAAAATAAAGGGAAAAAAAAAAGTGTAGTGCAATATCAGCTATTTGAAACACTCTGGAGTAACCTAAACCCTGCAATAACATACATTTTAGTATGTTTAGTACCCATAACATCTTAGTAATTGGGGAGTTGAAGTTAGATCTGTGTTCTTGATCTCCTACTCTGCATCTCCAAGTCCGAACTCTCAACACTTCCTCCTCAAAGAGACAGCAGAGGGTAATTTCAAGGCTCAGCTAAAACTATTAAACTGCTCCTCAGAAAACTTTATGCCAGGGTGTGGATTTTCAGGAAGCTCTTTAGTCTTACAGAGAGCTTCAGCCCCATCCACACATCTGTGCCCCGGTTCTGCATCAGTGCAATCTAAATTAAGGAATGCACAAGAGCAAGGTGGGGAGCTGTGTCTGTACAGAGCTGTGCCCAGTCTGGAGACTGTGCCAGTGTAGCTTTCAGAAGTATCAGTATTACAACTATAATTGGAATTCCAAACAACAAACTTAATCTCTAGAATAGAAAAGGTTCATGTAATCTCTGCCAGGAGTGTGATTGCTTTTACTTCAGACATCACACCTTCTGCAGAGAAACCCACTCCTGAAAAGATGTTCATGCTTGATCTTCAGAATCATGGAGAACCTTTCATATGCATGTGGGTGCTTGATACTCTACAATTCAATTTTAAATCTCCGCAGCTGAGTACTGAAAGGTAGACCATCAAGCACTACAAGCCACTTTTGCAAATAAGCCTCATTTGGATATCCATGTGGCTGGAAATCAAACGATACGGGTCTTCCCAGAACCCTGTTCCTGAAAAAGGTGCTGTGCAGTCTTAAGCACTCAACCTAGCCTCCCTAAGCCTCAGTTCCCATTAAGTGGAATAACAATGCTAACTTCCTACCACAGGTACTGGCAGGCTTATGCAAATGGTTCTACAGTAAATACAAACCCATTTTTAAGACCTCCCATTTGATTGTGCTAGTAACAGAACTTTCCTGACATCCAGCACTGAGGTTACTTTATTAATCATACAGACTCTGCAAGACATTTTCATGTTAAAAGCATATAGATACTGCTTTGGGGAATAAGAGTACACCCAGATGTTGACACGTAATACAAAAGAAATAAAAATTTTCACATATATAAAGCAGTTTGACAATATTTGTTAGCTTGAGTACAAACAAGTAACTGGAAACACTCATGATAAGCATTACTGCCTTTCTAATGGTGGGTATTATAGGTGATGCTGTTTAGTCCATGTAAACAGCATAAAACTCTTTCTGTCTGCAAACATGGTTCTGCAAAGCACAATCTGTGTTCCAGTTACATGGATCAAACAACCGACCATTTAGCTTGCAGCCATCAATACAGCTGAAGCAACATGCCTTCAAGCAGGGATTACAAAGAGAAAGAAGTTAAAAAACTTCCAAGATCTCAGACTACCTCTCAGTAAAGCAGTTGAATGATTCATGACCTTGTTAAGACTGAAAGGATTACAAGCAGTTCTGTAGTTTACTTCGTGTTCTCTGATTTCACACTGAAAGCAACTCTTCTTTATTTGTCAGGGTACACATTATTCAGTTATCTATAATCAAACTATCAACACATATATATTAGGTCAACACAGCTCAGGGAGTACACATTCCTACCCCATGCTGTAACTTCGAATTCCATAAGAGAATTTGGACTTTAATACCATTATGGTAGTAATACACTCCATGGCATTTTGAAACTAGAGAAGAGTTTAATGCTATATTGTAACTGATGGAACCACTAAAATCCGCACTTATGAATTGTCGTGGTTTAACCCCAGCCAGCAACTAAGCACCACGCAGCCGCTCACTCACTCCCCCCCCCATCCAGTGGGATGGGGGAGAAAATCAGGAAAAGAAGTAAAACTCCTGGGTTGAGATAAGAACGATTTAATAGAACAGAAAAGAAGAAACTAATAATGATAATGATAACACTAATAAAATGACAACAGTAGTAATAAAAGGATTGAAATGTACAAATGATGCACAGGGCAATTGCTCACCACCCGCCGACTGTCACCCAGCCAGTCCCCGAGCGGCGAATCCCTGCCGCCCCCCACTTCCCAGTTCCTAAACTAGATGGGACGTCCCATGGTATGGAATACACTGTTGGCCAGTTTGGGTCAGGTGCCCTGGCTGGGCATGAGAAGCTGAAAAATCCTTGACTATAGTCTAAACACTACTGAGCAACAACTGAAAACATCAGTGTTATCAACATTCTTCGCATACTGAACTCAAAACATAGCACTGCACCAGCTACTAGGAAGACAGTTAACTCTATCCCAGCTGAAACCAGGACATGAATACTTCCAGATTAGTCAATTTAGGATAACAAATCACTGCCTGCTATTTACCAGACATTGTTACTTTCATAGCTTCTAAGGACAAAAGACACTACTATAAGGATCACCTAGCCTGACTGCCTGGAGAAGACAGGCCTTGGCAATTGCATCACAGTAACCGTGCCTCAGACCCATATCCCTTTTACCTCTCTCTTTTAAAAAGTAAACCTAGCCTTGGTTTAAGATCTTCAACTGGCATTATTCCAAATGCTAAAAAAAAGACATCCACCATATTCCTTGTTTGAACCTTTGGGCTTCAAGTAGTCTTTACCTGCTAAATTAATGAGCTTTGTCTAATCAGAAAAACATACTATGGAGACAGTTAAAGATTTTGAAAAAGTCATTCTCTTGGGTAAACTAAATCCATTATGTCAGATTTTTTAGTCTCTCACTACTAAGATGTCAAAACATTCTTTAAGCTCTTTCCTAATCTTCTCTTATTTGCTAGTGTCTTTATCTACTCTTCTTAAAGCACAGACACTAAACAGGATTCCAGCTGTAGCCCCATTAATGTAATAACGACGGAGGTATAGACTCTAATCCTACTTAATATTCCCTCCATATCCATCTAAGGGTTGCACAGCCATGCCCAGCGGCAGGACCTTAGAGGAAGCTGACTATTAATGATGGCTCCTAGATACTCACTGTTTGTTGTTAAGATAGTCCTCTGTCCCACTGGTGCAGACCTACATATTCTTCTCACAGCTACACAAAATAGCGTTTGGGTGCGAATGACATCATTATTTTGCAAACCACTACGTTAAATTTCACTGCATTTTGTATATAGCGGGCACCCTTCTGTTACTTCACACAGAGCATTTAGTCCACAAGGTCAGGAAAATGACAGAGTAGGTAGGTCTGCCATACAAGACAAAGAAAAAGTTCAATGCAAGCTAGAATTTAAGGACCACAGGAGAAAAAGACCCAAAAGATTATGAGAGAGGTGCTAGTAAGAGCATAGAAAAACATGCCTCTCTTCCATGGATGTAACTAAAGATTGCTGGCATTTTATGAACCAACTGTTTTTCTTTAGAAAGAACACTGATTAACCTGAAACTGGAACATTTTCATGATGCATATACTGGTTTCAACAGAAGTTTTGTCAGGAAAGATTGCTAAGGTCCAGGATATAATTATTGGACAGAACCACCTACAAAGAGATCCACCATCATTCCAGAGTAGAAGCAGCCAATTGGTTAAGGACCCTTGCCTCTCCTCCAGAAGATCCCAAGCTACATTCCAACTGATTGACAGGACAAATTTACATTTGCCTCTCCCACATTCCAGCGGTACTACTCTTATGCTCCCAATGACTGAATATTCCAGGGCTCGCTCTTTTCCTGCTTTTTAATAAAAATGTTGTGACATGAAATAAAACCACATTTTCGTAATGAAACAGAATTCCAGCCAATCTCGGCTGTGAGAACTGTGTTGAAGTAAAAAGGACACAGAGGGAAATTGCACTGAACCAGCATAGATAGGAATACATAAGCACTGAACCTGTTTCTAAATGTTTTTGGCGTCAGACACATTCTAATCAGCTATGTCTGCAGATCTGCATTGGATAGTCTCAGCCAGTAGTTATTGCCTCTGGGTTTCTGCATAGATTAATGCGAGATGCGTATCCCTGTTTATCTGCATGCAAATTCTAAAATTAAAAGTCTGTATTTCCAGACAAACTTGCAAAGCGTGTTTGCTTTTTCTTTAACCAAGCTACACGCTATGCAAAAACTTGCACATTTACTCACCTGCATGCTCGGAGTAGCGGCCCAGTCGGAGGAAAGATCTGTGCAAGCGTGGTGTAACATGGGATGGCTACAGCATTGTAGAACCCAATCTATGAAAAACAACAATGAAAAAAAATAGTTAAATGTTGCCAAACTACAACACTGAAAGTTAACAGCCAACTAGCTCAAAGCTGTTGACTACTTACTTCATTACTACTTACGTTAGTACTTCATACTTCTGCATCTCCTCTTAATATCCAAATACTTTAAAATGAAGCACTAGTAGGGAAGTCTCTGGCAATTACAATTTGCTTACATGCCTCTCTTTTATGACTGCTATGGCTGCTTCAGATAGGATTTTTTACAGGACCTTTTATTATGCAATTGATTCAATTGATTTGCTCAGGATCTGTCTGGCTTCTTGGTGTCAGTAGTGGCAGGAAGTAGGTGCAGATGACTGAACCATTTCTGCAAACATTATTCTTGTGATGAGATTCTTTTTTTAAAACAGGAAAGTGGTGCAGGATTGCCAAAATACAGTCAGATTCTGGATTATTCTGATGTCCTCCAGGGTATGTATTCCATAGCTCAATTTACTTGAGATGCTAGGGGCTTTGCACCTTTGGAAAGTTTCTAAAAGGCGTGCGCTGTGATCAATAACTGGTTTGCAATTTCTTTTCATGTATGCGGTTCAGTGATCTATTTTTACCATTATCATATAAACCTATTCAGAGAACGTCAAATGAGCACCTTTTTAATGATATCTGATTCATACAGGCTTTAGGGGCCTGTGACGGCTACCATGTCACAGCTGAATTGTCATGACACAAGGGAATTTTTAGAAAATGCTTCTTATATATTACCAAGGATGACAGGTTAAATTCAGATCCATTGTAACACCATTCATTTCTCCCAGACTCTCATGATAGTTACAGTAGTGCACTATGATCCCTTTCTTTGGGCAGAGTTTTTAAACGCCTTTTAGTGAAATACCACGTATTGTACTGTGACCAAAGCATTTGATAATGAGTCTCTTTTTAACAGGCTAAACATTGGCCCTTATTCAGAAAACAAAGAGCAACTCTTGTCCTCACCTCCATCAATACAGAGATTCCTCCCATACTGCTATGTAACCAAGACTATTCTGTACTTTAAAAAAAATAAGATACATTTTCTGACCTGAGAACCCAACAGTCTGAGCTGAAGTAATCATGATGTAACGAATAGAAGGAAACTGCAGCTGGTGAGAAGGCAAGGCTGCACACAGCTGTGATGTCGGCTCATCAACAAAAAGTTTGCTATTTTGCATAGTGCGTCGTTTTCTTCCTATGTATTTTTTTTCTTGTGGCTTTTTTTTTTCTTGTTTGTTTGTTTTGAAGGGGGACTATTTTATTTCACTAGAAAATAGAAGATTACTCCATAGCTATAAAAAATTAAAATGGGACCTTAGGTACAGTCACACTGTAGACCTTCTGGGTCAATGAGAAGTGCGTTGCCATTGCAAAACATAAAAGATTTCAATCAAACTAAGTTCATCTGCAATATATTCCAAACAACCTTATCTTTGGAACCCCAGGATTTAGAGTAAAATGTGTCCTTTAAGGTCCTGACAGCTTTTAAGTTAAAATGCACTTCAATCAAGGAGGAAAAACCCTAAAGGGCTCGATGGATTTAGGTTTTGAATAAAGCCAAGCTAATTAAAAACATTCCTTTGTGAGAGCTTCCATTTCTGACCAGAGCAAACTCACACAAATCCCTTTTGTAAAAGGTTTAGATTATATGAATAAATTATTCCAGATTGATTTTTATGTTGCTGTGGCTAGACAGAAAGCCTAGAGTTCACTCAGGTACGAGCAAACTATTGAAGTCACTGCAGGAAAGGCAGTGTACGTATATCCTAAAGATGTATAAGCAAGAGGAACTAGAAAATATCTTTTGTGTCTGAAATAAATTGTTCCTGTCTCTCCAACCGTGCATCCTAAATGCACTGCTAGCTTTAAGAGCTGGATCTTTAATGTTCTGACTGAAGTAAGAAATCACCCTTAACATTTCAATCCTTGCTGCGTAAGAGTAAACTTTTTATTTTCAACTTGAAAACTGTATTTCTGGGATGAGCTTTGAATGGCTGAAGCACGTGAACTGTTCCTTCTCTCTCCCCTCATTACTCAGAGGCTGGCTTGACTTGCTTATTAAAAGGGCTTTTAGATCACTGCATCGTTTTGGCATTTCTGTTTTCTTCACGGGTTCCAAAAGGAAGGGCAGAAAAGAGGGTGATGGGATCCTTGCTGAGTCAGGAACAAATCCTCAGTGCAGGCTTCACAGTAGGAAGACATCCAATTGAGAGACCTTACAGGAGTTGTGCTGCAAAGGGCGTAAAGCGCAACAGAGACCAGCTGATCTAGCCAGCCAAGTGAGAGGACGAGAAAAGTACGAGCTGTTCTCATCAAAGATGAGTACTTGAGGCAGAAGAAGGTTTTTTTCAGAGATTACATGTTTATACAAATCCTCATTTCCTAAACATCATTGTCATTTAAATAAGGTATTAATGCTTTAATTAAAATCCACATAAAAATACTCATTAATGCTTTTTGTTAGAGCCCAAGGAAATGGATGATTATGCTTTATTAAATTCTTCAGTCTCTACATAAATATAGGAAAGGTTACTTTCACAGAATTATGTATGTCCTACATCTCACATTTTGCTGTAACATTGTTGTAAGATACAGCAGCTACAACTATACTACTGAAGTTGGGTTTTAATGTCCTGTTTTGCTTAATATTTTACTGTTACACTCTTAAGAAGCATGAAACAGAGCACAAAGTAAAAAAGAACCTGATGAAGACAGTACCTGGAAAAATACTGTATTTTTTTTAAAGAGAAAAAAAAATAGCTTATTTTGTAGATCTGTGCTTTCACCCCATTAACAATTCTTTCACGGATGCTAAGATGACTACTACTGTAATACTATGTACTTTTCAAGATGTTCAAAGATAACTAGTATAGTGTGTGGAAAAATAAACCCAGTGCAGAAAAATGTTTCTTCTCTTTTTAGGCTTATACTAAACACACAAATTTAGTAAATTAACTGCTAATTCCTTACCATAATAAGGGTAATAGTTTTTATGCTAAAATATGATAGAGCATATGGAGTAAATTCTCAGAATATAAAAATTTCCATAGTCTTGCTTACCAAGTAATTAATCTATAGTGACTTTGTAATACTTTGTCATTTCTAACTTACTTTAAATATTATTGCTAATTTCAGAGTTCATGAAACGTTTTGTAAGTGCCACTGAAATAAAAAAAAACCTTACACTTATATATGTACATGAATGGACAATGGACAATTTAAATTTATTTTTCTCTGCTCAGATAATCAAAGGACAAGCTACCTTTTTCGTTTACCCCAAAAAGTTAGTTCAAAGACCTTTTTTCCCCTCAAATTTATGTTTACAAAATACCAGTCTTCCCTAGGGAAAGCATAAAAAAGCAGTCACTTCTGCACATTTGTGCACAGGCAAATCAGTATCTAAAGACTTTGAAAAACAGATGACTGAGGCTCTTAGAAATATACCCTTTACTGCTTATCCTCAAGAAACTATTCACATTATTCTTTGTTTTAGGAATGTCAAAAAGCAGTGATTGTAGTTATCAAAAAAACTAATGAAGAAGTATTGGTCTAAAATCACAAATATTTTGAAATCTGAACCTGAATATTTTAAACAGGAACAGATGATGAAGTTCATTTTGCATTCAGGATAAAACAGCGAAACCTTTTATCTAAGGGCTGAAGCAACCACTTCCTAAGCTAAAAAAGTGTTATTGACACTTCTCAAAACCGTAGGTGATTGCGGGTTTAGCTAGAGTTACAAGTACAAGGAATGGAACAGGTGACAACAGCAAAGAGCACACTGTCACTTAAGTAAACATTTGAAAACAAGTTTTCCACTGCTACTTAAAAAAAATTAACCCTGTTTTGCATACAGAACATAGAATTCAACAGCCCACGTACCCTAATGTCAAATGCAACATTCACTAATATATAAAAAGTTTTTTCCATCCATGTTTTATACCATGTTCATACCTGACCCTGAGGGACTTCATCTTTCTTGTCTCTGTCCATCATTGGAATAGGTTGAATACCCGTTTTCTTCATTTCATCACCCTGGAAAAAAAGCAGAGAGAGAGATTAGGAAAACAAAAATCAAGACTACAAGACCTGAATTAATTTCCATGTTCTCTTGTGTGTCAATCTAAAAATCCAGAATTTAAAATGACCTGTGGAACTGGTCTAAGGCAATCTCGTAAAACTGCCCAAGGACGGGCTCATTTTATACATTCATCTAAGTGATAATGTAAATAGCAGATGCTGAAAATGAAGTTTTTGAGCCAACATACACACGTTTTCCTTGTTTCCAAGGGTGTCTCCATAATAAAAAGCAACTGGAAGAATAAAACCAAAGAAATCAGTTCATCCTATTCTGTTCTATTTATAGGTAGTTTCATCTTTCAAAACCTTATCTGTTTAAAGCACTATAATACACTGACCAGTAGAACACAGCTCACCCATCTAACGAAAAGCTGAGCAAAACAGATGAATTTACAATGTGCCATCTTTGTCAACAATCCAGTCTTTTTGACCATGCTGCTTTGAAGAAAGAAGCTGCCTGTCAAACAGCCTTTTATTCTTTAAGTATGTTATCCCTCTATGTTCTTAAGGGGAATACTGGGAAAGATGCAGTATATACAAAGACCAGATATATGTAATGTACTGTCCTCTTGTATTTCACCCATTACCAGCAGAGCAGCCAAAACACGCTTCTGAGCACTACACTGGGCCTGAACACAATTACTTCTTAAAAATCTGTAAGTAGCTGGCTACTTTCTGTAACAAATTGAAGTTTTCCAAGTTTTCCTCAACTGCATTGTCAAAACACCACGGATGTTTAATCTTGAGGTTATAAAGGCAACTACAGCCACAGCAATGGTTGCTTTTGGCTGCTGCTTATGTCTGAGATTCCAAAGTCAATGTGATCTTCAAACTGCTAACCTTATGCATTGGGTTTTCATGGCAAGGTTTTGGTAACAGGGGGGCTACAGGGGCGGCTTCTGTGAGAAGATGCCAGAAGCTTCCCCCATGTCCGACAGTCAATGCCAGCACTATGAGGGCTGCTATGGGGAAAGTTAACTCCATCCCAGCCAAACCTAATACACCTTAGTTAGGGAGAAAGTTTATGCAGGATAACTGCTTGTACAATATTTGCTTATCGGTGTCCTTTAATGTGAGATTCAGCCTACAGAGGTTTAGCTATCGGAAAGCTTGGGACATTCCCTAATTCCGTGTTGTATGTTTCTGCTACAGTTAGTGAAGGCATCTCCAGAAGACAATTTATTACACCTTTCTCCTAAGATTTTATCAAGCCACGTTTCAAGTGCCAACATGCCCTTCCAAGGGAGGATTTTGGCAACTTTACTCAAAGAGAAGTTTGCAATATAATAAATTGATTCTGGCCTGAGCAGAGCATCTTTCTGTTTGACTGTCTTGCAACTACCTTGAGTGTAGAAAAGATGGGGGCTTCTGGAAATCTTGCATATTTGGCCTCAACATCACCTATTAACTATGATCCTGCTCAGTTAACCAACAAGAGATGCAGTCAAGAAGGTATTTTTGAATTGGTGTCTGTACTATTCTCTCCTATCACATATTTCTTTCACCAAGTACTTAGAGAGGCTAGAATCATCAAATCTAGTCTCTGTTAGACATTTTACTGTTGAAAGAAACAGAAGGAAAGGCTTCCTTCCTCAGCTGAGAAAAAAAAAGATGCCTGTAACAAGTCCAAGCACAGAAATTCAGTGGATTGTTATTTAGGAACTGTAAGCAAATTTTGGTTTTATGTGCCACCGGTAAATAATATTTAATTTTTTCCCATTTGCTTGAAGTACTGTAATTGATTGATCCACGACTGTCTGCAGCTACCATAGTCTCAATGATAAGAGCCTCAACACTAAACCATTTAGCATCATATGATTATATGATCATATGATTAGGCTGCTTTTCGATTAATATCAAGTGCCTGAGTAAGAATTGAAGTCAGAGCTTTGACGAAGCTGTCCAGCCTCTGACTGATTACGCCAACACCGAGCAAAGCTCAGATTTATGTTCACTAGTTCACCCTGAAAGAAAAAAGGTATCACAGAACCACAGGATGATTTGGGTCGGAAGGGACTTCTTGGCATCATCCAATCCATCCCACACACCTACCCCAGCAGGATCAGCTAGAGCAGGTGATTCAGGGCTGTGCCCAGTCAGGTTTTGAATATCTCCAATGATGGAGAATCCACAACCTCTCTGGATAACCTGTGCCACTGGTCAACCACCCTCACGGTAAAAAAGTACTACATTTAAATGGAACACATGCACCAGAAACACAAGTGTTTTCTTGTGTCCAGTATGTGCGAACACATATATGATATACTATTATAAAAAATACTGCTTTTATCCTCATAGTTATGATCATGATCAGAAAGTTAAAGTTGAAATTTTAAGCCAAGAAGTTCATATTATAGCCATACTCCAAGTATAAGAGGCTTGTAAGTCTCTTAAATACTGCAAGAAAGGGTTTAACAACTGCCTAGTGCCTCATATCTCACAAAAAAAAAATCACAGCAGACAAATCTTATACAAGCTTGTAATCCTATATAATTGATCAGCAAACGTATTATTTTGCTTGAGTTGTAGCACTGTGGGAAAGCTTCATGCTGAGTGATATCAGGGTAGATCTGAGCTGAAAACACTAGGTACACTAGGCTTCGTTCAATGAGAAAAGATCAGTGTGACGTATCACAAAATTGCTGCAACCTCTTCTGCAGTTATTGTTTTAGTTAATGATTACACAAAGAAGAAATATTATAAAAATGCTCTGAATAAATCATTCAACATACTAAGATTATGAACTCAGTAGTAATTAGAAGCAACATTCTATCCTACTTTTAAAACTGTAACATAACCATTCAATCTCGTCAAACATACTTGTCTAGAGTTTACCTTTTTCCCAATTAAGTAACAATTTCTGCAGTGAAACACAATCTAAACTTCCTATTGGTTTCACTTTCCCAGGATTTTCTCTGTATCTGACTCCAGCTTTCCAATTTCCAGAAGCATTTCGACCTGTGGCTGGATTTGTCAGCCATCCTGACTAGATCACAACATATTCAACTTCTGCCATGTATCAGTTAACCTCTTCTTAAAGAGGATTCAGTAAAACACCAATTACAGAATTCAATTTCTGTCAATAACTTCTAATTTACATTTGCTCTATGAAGTAGTAATATAACAACATCCACCTTTATTAACTCATCCTTGGATTACAAAACAGGTTAAAGTCTGGGCAGGCTCAATTATGTCCATAATTCCACCTTTACTATTGTTGAGTAGGAAAAAATCAGTTTGATCCTTCCTTCTCCACTGAGTTCACAAGACTTGCATTAAAAAGTCTTTTTACTTGTAAGCAAAAAAGTGAAGTATGTAATCAGTGGGGCACATCAACATTATACCTCTATTATATCACTCATAAGGACACTCACTTTCCAGTGCTGACATTTTAGAAAGCGAGTACTGAACTAGATCTTTGAGCTTATACAGTCTGTGTTTTTCAAATACTTTATTGTAGTCTGAGCTGAGAACATGTGAATACAAAAAACACCCCCAAGCCATGCAGATCTTGAATTTCATAATGAACACGCAACAGGCAGGACAACAATCTCCACACTATATGCATGCTACATCAACTCTGTGGGCCTGATTTCTATTTTACACTGGTGTAAAACAGAAATAAGCCCACTGAATTCTGCAGACTTCCATAGGGCACATAACAGATAAGAAAAACACTTTATCATATACATGTGCAATAGTAGTTCTGAAAATACAGCATATTTTCTAAAACTGCTTAATCCAACTCTATGCAACACCCTCAGAATTTATTCCTTATCTCTACAGCAGGGATATTTATTAAAAATTGAACAATTAGAACATTTACTCCTCAGCATAAGACACGTGAGAGATTGCATCTTTATTTATGAACATGATTACATTAGCACAGCTCAATGCCTTGTTTCAGTTCTCAGTACATCTTATCTGTGGAGTAACTTTCAGCATATTAAAAAATCAGCTCTCTCTGAGACCCAGTTGTTGGGCTGGCTCCCAAAGAAGATTCCAATGGTCAGATCAGAACAATTTTAAGGTTTGTCATATTTGCTTTAGCATTTCCTGGACTCATACTACAGCTTTATAAGTGTGTTTCAAGGCAGTTGACCTGGAAGCTGGTTTCATATTTTGGATTTCTAGAATAGAAATAGATCCTTCACAAAACTACAGTTAGCGACTCAAAAAACCTTACAGATTTTCTTCTGTGTTCTGTTACTTGGTCACTTTATGTTAGGACATACTTTCTAAATTCATCTTTAACAGAGAGAAAAAACACTGCCAGAAAATTAGGAAGCTAACTCAGCTCTTTAAATAGCCTCAGAGTAAACAACAAAACACATGCATGCACCAATGAATACCCTTTAAAACAAGCACGCTGAGATATTGATTGAAAAATACTTATGGTTGTTTTTTTCTTCCTGGATACTTCCATTTATAAAGAGAGTGAACACCCTTTAAAACAAGCATGCTGAGATATCGATTGAAAAATACTTATGGTTGTTTTTTCTTCCTGTATACTTCCATTTGTAAAGAGATTAAACAAAAGAAACACACATACCTCAGCCCAGAACTCCGCATATATATCGTTGGCCGTCAGTCTGGTAACTGGCCACAACTTTGTTACAGAACACAAATCACAAGCCGTCATCATCAGACCAATCACTCTATCTCTAAAATAAAATTGCATTAAATTGTAATTTCAGTAAAAAATTAATGATCACACTGCAAAGTTTTTGTTTGCCCTTCCTCAGTTCAATCAGTAGTAAAGTATATATACTACAAAATTTCTCTCACCTTGCTTGTTTCTTCCTCACTTGTTTATGATTCATTGGTAAGGCATCACACAAATTGCATATTATATTCCCTGTAGTATTCCCTGCATCGTTTGCAACCAGAGTTCATTGACTATCCTCTGCACAATCACAGTCATAGAAAACTACACAAGAATGCCTGCTTGTTAAAACACTCGCATGCCCCTCCTTGATTTTCTGAAAACACAGTACAAGTCTATAAAAAGAAAGATGGCATATCCTGTTGCTGTGTTTCTTTCTGTTCTTTAAAGAGAGAGGAACGCACGTTCCAAAACCAGGAAAAACTAGTTCTGAGTCTATGTCAAGGTACTCTGTCATTGCTTTGTTGGAATGAATTCTGACCCTGACAGAACAAGAATCCTACACACTTAACTCTGTTCTATACACTGACAAACCTGTTCACAGAATAACTGAACAGCATCAGTAGGATTATAATCATTATTAAAATAAGGCACACACACAAAAAGCTTATTTAAACATTTTTCTAGCACTCGTCTACTACCCAAACCTGTGGTTTATGAATCAAAGTTTTATAAAGAAAACTGGCAAATTAATGAATGATTTCACATGTCTTCCACCCAACGGAGAACTTAAGATGACACTTAAGGACACCTGCATCTTTGTTAATAATGCCTATTCCATGGGAAAAGCACACAACTGGCTAACTTGCATGCCCATGTCATGGCAGTCATTAAAACTGTACCAACAGACAAATATACCAGAGAAAATAAACAAATACACAATATAATCAATAGATTCCCCTGAGTTAAGCAAGAGGATTCAGCAGCCACGTAAGGGCCAAATTTAGCATTCCGCTGTACGTACAGGTAACAACTAGAAGTCTCGGATTCTTTAGCCACATTACAAACTGATGTCCTACCTTCAGGCACGTGGCTTTGCACTGAAAATGCTCTGAGGGCAGGTGAGATTAAAAAAATCAGCATAACACAATATTCAATCACACACTAAATAGTTGTGATCCTACTTAAATTTCATAAACCCTAAATTCAAGATTTCTGGTAAATGTCATTCTGAGACTATCAGGAACTACTATATCTTTGTCTTTTTAAGATGCTGAGGTTTATTCAAGTCTGAAAAGCTTCAGTTTCATACTGGGAAATAAGCTTTTAAAAACTGCCCTTCCTACAGTGTTGTAATAATTTATTCAAAACTACTGGCAAAAACCTGTAAAACTCCTCAGAAAGAAGACCCAAGTACCAAAGTTCCTTTTGAAAAGAAATCAGAATCCTGACTCAATATTTTCCCATATTACCTCTCTAGTTTTTCCCTGCATTAGATTAATGACAGGATCCACTTTCCAGTAAAGAAGCCTTGTAGGGCTGCATGAGCACTTTAATGAAGCCTCTTATGAGGCACACCTCTCATCCAGGCTGCACTATGTTTTGCTTATGTGAACAGAGTCATGTATTTATGAATATAAATGTACATTTTTAAAACTTAGAGCTATCTGAATTCATAAAGGTTGAGATCGACCAGAATTCCTTCCAAAAAAGCATGTTGACAGAATAATAAAAATATTGACATAAAAATAAAAGTAACTATTGCACTGTACCTTTTTCCCCACCACCTAACTGCCTGTGCACTAACTTTCCTCTGCAGATGATCTGTCACTGAACTGTGCAGTTGACATCCAAAGGCAGTGAAACGCAAATATAAAACACTGGAAATTACTGTTACATACTTGAAATTTTACGCACAGCTGGTCTTAGAAATCTTATATGTAAGAAAATTACTGTGTACACAGAAATTTTTTTTGCAAAAGTAAGGTTTTTCTTTCTAGGGCTAATGCCATAGTGAACTAATACTGGTTTGCTACTTCACCTGTGTGCTTGGTTCTTAAGGTTTAATGCTCCGGTCTGATGCAGCTCTTCAAGCTGTTTTCTGTTTCCAAAATACAGGGCAAGGTCTGTGGCGATGATGGCTTTCCGGATGATCTCAAGTACTTGCTCATATTCGCTGGAGCTCAGATTGGAGAAGACATTGTGCCCTTCCAGCTATGAAAAAGTAAAAAACCAATAAAAAGCACAAGCTCTAATTCTGAGATGATTTCAGTCTTTACTTCACCAGACAGGTTACAATGGTTTTACAGCCCAATGACAATTTTTTTTGCAAATTCAAATGTTGACAGCCTGAAATTCCCATTTTTATCTTTCCTTTTTTAAATACTGTCATGAAACCTATGACTAAGCCACTGATCTGGTTTTGGACTGCTCCTTCTGAAGCTTAAAGGTATTAATAGAGAAAAATGCTAGCTTTTTCTCCTCTGATTTATAAGCACTACAGACACAGCACTTCCAGACAGTATTAGCTTGGGAACTTGTGATTCAATCCTGATCCAGAGTACTGCATTGCAAAGTTGGTAAACTGTCTGATTCACTCTGAAGTACGATTTTGATACCGCGTAACCCACAATATGGATAAGGAAATATCCAAGTTAAAGTACTAAAATAATTTTGTTTTCATAGTGTTCCAAATTAAATGTGCCTGGAATTGCTGCATTTACTAATACAATTTTCTCTATAAAGTTAATTACAGTATTTTAATGTATATGAACATTTAGGGGAAAAAGCTGCTTTGTTCAACCATGAGCTGACTGACTCATAAACTAAAGACAATGGTTTCCACTATGGAGGCAACATGCCACTGTCATCCCTTTGCAATATTTCCACTATGTATTATTGTGCATTTAACTGACAATATCTGTGCACTGTGATCACTCACGAAGCTATATCACATTTTGAAAAGTCAACACTATTCGCTGTCTCTAAGATTTGGAAAACAACTTGTCAAAAGTCTTCCTACTTTTGAGAGGAAACAGAGAAAAATAAGAAAGAATGAGCCAGCCATGTCAAGGTGTGCACATTCACAAATAGAAAATATTATTAAAATATATCAAATGCAGATATGCTTTGACATTTAATTGGCATTTGGGCTGAAGCTTATAAAAAGTTTCTCTGACTTTTGTCAAGCATTTAAATAATTTGTTCAAAATAAATCCTCCATGGTGCAAATAGGCTTTGTTTCTCTCACCATTCGGAATGTAAACGTCATTTTCCAACATTTTTACTTGGACAAGTAGATTTATTTTGAATAATGAATAGAAAATACGATCCATCTATGTCTCAATGCTCCTTTGACAGACTCCTAAGTCACAGAACATGATGTTTAAAAAAAAAAGTTCAGAACATTTTAACCCATCATGAACATTTTGGGAGCAGGAAATGACTACTACTAGTTTTCATGATTTAGGGTTTTGGGGACACTTTCCTCCCTGACCTTGCTTGCCTAATCCATGAGAACAGGCTATTTGTCCTAATATTTAAATTATTCTAGATTCTATTCTTTAGGGAAGCTGCACTGTCAGAAAGACCACTGTGACAGCTTCTGTTCATACTACTAGAAAACAACAGATTCCGTTAAGTACTGACAGAAGCTGCCATTTCTGAGCATGTCACTTAGGCTTTTGAGTAGTACATACGAAGGACAGCTCCTAAGATTTTATTGTTTCCCTGTTGAGCTACAGCTAGCGAATGGAATCCTCTGTATTTGGAAGTATGTTGTACACTAGAACTGCAGGTGGATGAGCAAAGCAGCTATAAAGTTTCAAACAGTGAGAAGTACTGCAGGTTACTAACATAAAACTAAAACTCACTGAGATAAACCCTAAAGGGTTGGGTGGGTTGCTTGGCTTTTTTTGGTAACAGTCCAGGAATTCAGTAAGGTTTTTTGATTCAAATGAAAAAACAGCAAGTCCAAAAGGCCGCTCAAATCTGCCTTTGCTAATAATCACCAGCCGTGGGCACTTGGGTAGCCAGTGTCCGAATCCACTCTGCAGCCCTGCTCACCTATCTCCCTTTCCTCACTCCTGCCGATGGCCAAAGCGAGGAGGCAGCAGGGAAGCAAAAAGGTTCCCTGCCTTCTTGGCAATTGGGACTTTCACCGACTACAACATTTCTGCAGGAAAAATGCAAAATGGTTTTTGAAGAATGACTGAAGTCTGCTTCACGTAGCCATAGTGGGACAGAGGAGCGTTAATGACTGAGGAACCTGCTCACTGTGCACAAACTCACATGAAGAATGAATACTAAAAATCTAATGCCATACCACCACTGAAGGATTCAATTACACCCTCCTACATGGAGGAGCATTCAGAGATAAAGCTTCCATTCTCTGATGAAATGTATATGATACCTAAAACCATAATCACAAGATGTACTTCTGAATACAATACAGAATATGTATTTTTCCTAAAAGGTGATTAGATATTTAAGAAAATAAATATCTTCCCCCTGAAAGACCAGAAAGAAAGAAAAGTTAACAACGAATTAGTGGCGCAGTAGCATAGTAAGGTTGTGCATAGAGCATGTGCATGGTAAACTAAAACCAGTGAGCACAAATATGTTACGGACTGGCAGTGGTTTCATAGGTGAGAGTTCTCACTCTTCTAATTGAGCATGAAAAAAATTTTCACTGATGAGAAAATATCTGTGTGTCAGTAGCACACTTGGATTTCCCAAAATGCGTCTGCATGCTTTCTTGTAGCTTTCTATTCATTAAACATATGGACACATTACCTCGTATTAGGAACTCTCTTTCATAGAATATTACCTTGCTCAGTTTTTTTTTTAATTTCAAATTGCTGAATAACAAAAAAGCACACGATAACATAATGAAACAAGTTTAAACTTTTCATGCGTGCAAAATTAACATTTCCTCCTTCATGCCACACATTTACTGTTCATGGAATTTATTACAGCAGGTTTTCAAGCTTCTCATGCAAACTTTTGCCAGTACTTGAGCTTTTATTCAGAATTTCAGGATGATTGAAGACTTTGTTGAAGCACATTATGCTGGAAATATCTAAGTAAGTGAGAAACTAATTTTTCATTTTTAAAATTCCTATTCCACGTGGTTATAGGAAAAACCCTAATTGACCCAGAAGCTAAAAGCTCCAAAGGCAGGCCATAAGCAAAGACCTTCAAATACACAGTATTTTTTATAATATCAAGATTTTGGAAAAGCTATGTTTTGCACTATTATTGAATGCTTGGGTTGCTAATTGGGGAACCCGGCTTGCTGTAATAAATCTCCCACTCTTCTAAATGAGCACTACAATCCAGAAATAAAATTAAGCATGCTTCAGAAATCTACTGGGTCATGATGTGACTCCTATTTCCACCACTGGACTCTACTGCACAGAAGACACAAATTCAATAATCCTACCTGCAGGATGGACACAGTCTGCGAGAAGTGATGCTGTTCCATTGTTGACGTGGAATAGAGAGCAGCTAAGGGGTGATCAAATTTCTGAAGATAGCTGTTGCTGTAACCTCTGTGATCCAGGTCATGACACAGGCATGCAACTAAAAGACCTTTTCGCTACAAAAAAAATTGAGAGAAACATGAAAAGTAAGATGTCTTTCCTGCCCCTAGATGTCACTCTCTTCCCAAAATACTGTAAAAGTTGCACTATGCTTACACAGCCTTCAAAAAGCACATGGAGAAACATCCTTAATATTGTGAGAAACACAAAAGTGAGGACATGCTGAATTAAAATTCTCAGACAAGTTGTAATTCAAACCTCTTATATATTATGAATTAAAAAAAAAAAATGTTGCACAATCACATACTATTGGAGGGATTCTGCTTCAGGAAGAAATCTGAGTTTTAAACAGATAGCCTGGTCATCCACTGAATTCTTACCATGTTTATTAAAAAATAAAAAGTGCAGTTACTGAGGGAGAGGAAATAAGTAAGATGTATGATCTCCTGGTCAAGGCAGCTGTGCCAAAGTCTGATGCTAGACCTGCCTCCGTAACACTCCTCGGAGACACTGACCAAGCTGCCTAGGTGAAACTGATTTTTTCATTTAATTCACTCTTAATATCCTGAAGAAATGGAGTCCCTGAAATCTGTCTTTCAACACACAAAATACGTGAACACTAGCAAAAGTTTTTCACACAGCAAGTGTGTTTTGAAAACACATTCATTAATGTTTGTGAAGCAGTCACTGTCAGCATGGAGTATCACGAAACTGTCTTTATAGACTTAACAGCTCTGTCTTATACATGGTTCTGATGAGTGTTCAGTAAACAAGGATAAGGCTATAAAATGAAGCAGAAAAAGAATACTGATTATTAAGTGAGCAACATTCAACCTGTATACTCTACTAAGAGGCACATGATTGTGTGGAAAAATAACAAACAATGATGATAAAGATTTTATCACAAATATACAATGTGCAGAACTCAGGTTGTAGCAACCTGAAATGTATTTCTGATTTTGAGACCTTCGCTTTTATTTTAAATCCTTCACTTTTATTTTTAATGATGTCTTTTCAATATTGCATCTTGTGAAGTGCATTTTTAAAAAGCACATGGTAAAACAGAAGATGCAGCAACACACGTCCACACAGATCCTCAGCATGAGTGGAACCCTGAGAACATCACACACATCTATATTACTTGAAGTTGTGCAGTAACAGCTGCAGGAAGGTGGTATCCCCTTTTCACTACTATCAGGAGGGGCAAGATGTGTAACCAATAGACTTGAAAAGCAGTCTCTGACAGCAAAAGAAAGATGAGTCTCAGAATCCTTCGTGCTACATTAGATCTAGTGGGCGTAAGTTCTTCTGTCCTTCCCCCGCAAGTTTCATTCTCCTGTTGCGTCCTTTACAGCCTGTGTTTTTTCCAGTCTTACAGTTCTGATCAGTCTGTCCCTTGTACCAGATGGTTCTGTCTACCTTGTCCCACTCTCCATGTCCCAGAAAGTCAGCCTTGTGTCAGTCCTTCAGGATTATACAATGCCTAATCCCAGTGTCCTTGACCTTGTACATATTGTCCCTGCTTGGATCCCAACTCTTTGACCACTGCCAACTGCTGTGTCTATTGGTCTCTAGATCACAGCCCCCTCTGCAGTGTTTCATACTTCTCTTCCCATCTCTAAGTCTATCGAGGTTCATGTCATCATCCCTCACCCGAGACCAGCCCATCCTAGTTACCCAAACTTGCCTTCAGCAGTTTCCTGTATTCTTTTTGGATTCATCTCCAGTCTCAAGAAAGGAGACTGCTAGAAAGAGCTGGAACATCGACTGGGGTAAGGCATTCAAACCGGTGAAGGCTGCCTGGACTTTGGCAGGGAACAAAGACTGTTTCCATCTCTCTGAACAGCTGCCTCTTTTGCTCTCCGTCTTTCTTACTCTGTGCCTCCAAAAAGATGGGCCTTACTACTTGGTTAGTACTGAATGTTATGAGAGCTTGAAATATTCCCTGAAGCTGCAATCCACAGATTTTTGTTGTTAAAGGAATACTGATTTTTTCAAACTTGTATAGCTTTGCCAACTTTCAGCATATGCCTGGCAAATGCCACTTTCCTATTTCAGTGTCAATTTTCAAGTCCATGCTTTACAGCAGAATAAACTAGACCTTTTCAACTGAAAGATCACCAAAGTCTATTTTACTCTTATACACTGAACAAAAACTTGATTTCTCCTAGCACGTTTCTTTATAAGAGCCAAACAATTTTGGCTGAAATTTCCCCAAATGAATCAGCTTGAGAAAGTCACGGAGCTTGGAAAATTACAGCCCAAATGGCTAGTGTTTGGCGAAGTTATACACAACTGAAAACAGGTTCACCCAGTCAGAAGTTTCAGGTAGTATTAAGAATAGACAGCACTCCCAGTTGCACCTACCATAATTCAGAAAAAAAAACAACTGACAGTTCTTCGTAGTGTATATTAACATTTAACCATTCTAAGCCTTCCATTCTATTGTTATAACTTCAGCAGTTAGTGATCTATCCAAAGTATTTTTTTCCTGATTTTTTTTAAACACTATGCATTTATCTTCAAAATATGTACACGCATGCTAAGGAAAACTGTTGTACAATAAAAGTTAATCAGTGAACTAGCACATTTGGACAACTGTTTTCCTTCCATTCTTTCTACTCATCTCCTTTACTCACATATGTCAACCATCTCTGTAACCCTTGTCCTCCTATTCAGGATTACCCAGACCTCACAGGGTTCACGATCCAGGGTGTTTCCCTCCCCTCAGTACAGATCCGACAGTTAGTTAAATAATTAAAATAAAGACTGTGGTTGTAAGTGGGCAGGGAGAACCTCAAAACGTGGACATGGACTTATAGCAAATCTGCTAGTGCTTCTTCAGTGGGCAGACCTGAAAAACGTGAAGGAAACACTAGGATTAGGAATCTGAATAATTCTCCTTCCTCAAGCTTTCTACTCACACCCGTTCCTCTGTGGGGACCTTTATACACGCTCTGCCCAAGCTGACAGCAAAATAGAGTTTTGCACAGAAAATGTACTTCTGCGATGGCTGATACCTCTGATAAGGTCTAGTAACTGATACAATCATCTCACCTACCTCTAGATCAGTGAAAAGCCCCTGGTTGTTCTGAAGTATGGCATACATGCAATGTGCAACGGTAACTGCATGCTTCCAGTTGTGGTAGGGCACACGGCGATAATTCTTCTTTACAGACATAGTAAATCGGCATAGCTTTTCAAGTTCAAAGCTAGAAAGAAATTAACTTGGTCAGAGACAAGAAAGAAGAATGGGAAAATAACCAACAGAGGAGAAAAGATGCTCTTTGATTTACTCTTCTTGCTAGGATTGACTCTCATTGCAGAAGACTTGTTGATTACAAGAGTCATTCAAGTTTTGGCAAGGACAGAGGACCATGGATACACGACAATGCTCTTAGTTTAATCTGTAAAGTTCTGGAACATAAGTCAAGCTATCCAGCTCAGGCAACACAATTGCATAACCCTCCTCACTCCCAGAAACTTGAAGCGTGGTTTCTTTAAATCGTTATCTATTCAACCTGTCAAATACTGAAACTCGGCATCTAACGGACAATTTGAAAACATCATTTGTGATCAAACCAGAAAATTAGGGGTTTTAAGCAACTGACACTGAAGAAATAATCCTGTTTAAATTAAAATTTCAGTCAAACGCCAAATGCATAAATTGTTTTGAATAAAAGAAGTTGAGATACTAGACATACTGACACCATGAAAAGAAGAAGATTTTACTTTTTTCCAAGACTTTAAGATTTTTCTTCCAGTTTGGGCGAATGAATGGAAATTCACGTTTCACTGTTTCTTCATTTTTGAACAAACAATATTTTGCTAAGTAATTGCTGGTCAACCACGAAGATGCCCCACATTTACAGCATTTAGGGGATTATTTCTTAAAGAATTTTTTTTATATTTTTGCTGTTAAGATAGACAAGCAAAATGAATTTATGATCAAGAGTATTTTCACTAAGGTAATAATAAAAAGCAGTAATAAAGTAATTGTTAAGTTTGGCTTATGTGCTCACCAAAAACACCTCCGAGGGAGTTCATATTCTGTAGTACCACAGCTCTGCACAATCTTTAATAGACCTTTTTCTACCAATGTTCCTTTGAAAGGAAAGCTGAATACATTTTGTTTACAGATGGGAAATTCAAGCACAGATTAGATATCAGGTAAAATTTTCTAAAGTACCTAATCTGAGCTGCCTGTGGTGAAAAGGGAATATTACACTTGAGCCCAGAACTGAACAGAAGATGCCAGAGTCCCAAGTCACTGACTTTTTCCCTCATAACAGATCAGTTTTCTCTTATTCTCATTTTTTCCCATTACTGTGGTTTGACTTTTTTTTAAGTTCCATGTTTTGATAATTTCTTAGGTATCTCAGGGAAGCAGTATTAATGTTCTAGTTTTGCACTACATGTGGGCTGAGAAAACAAAGTTGAATGTCTGTGATCTACATGTGAAAATGTAAATACATCCGCTATATGGAGCCAGTTAGATAGAAAAACATATTTCTATGGTTGTATGCTGAGCAAGGTCATTCTTCTTAGCCTTAGTCTGACATTAGTAAAAATGGAGGCATACTGTCTTTCAAAAAAACTTTAGGCTTTCTTTTTTAATTCTAGAGAGTTAAGTCAGACAGGTCTAGAACAATCGTTAGAACTACTGTTTAAAATAGTACATCATAGTTCAGAATATCACAACAGTCACTTCCATCTACATCCAATATCAACTCAATGGTTACTATGGGATAGAATGGTTGTAGCCAAAATCATTATCAATGATACCTCAACGTAGAATACTATTACTTCCTCCACTGCTGTATTTTATATACTTGATTGAAGTGGTAAAAGATAATTTCTTCATGAGAGGAAAGAAAATGTAGTAAATATCACAGATTTTTGTCCAAAATCCTCCCTGGACAGGACAGTTATACATTACATAGGTGTATATTTAAAGGCACAACCTTACTCCTTGATACTTTAAAAATCAAATTTTAGTCTTAGAATAGCTGTACTTGTTTCAGAGGGTTGAGAAGTTTTGTTCTTTCAGAAATTAAACACAAGTCCAGTCCCAACAGCCTCCTTTTCAAATATTTTCCTCACTTTTGTTTCTTTAACTTTATATGTGAAAGCTGAGACTCATTTGAAAAACGTCAAGTAGAAATCAATTCTTTCCCATCAAAGTTACACCTTGAAAGAAAGAGACTGGGAGACAGAAAGGGAAAAAAACAGAACTTAGCTGAAAATCTGAACCCCAGTCCTGCATCCACAGCTATTCAGTCAGGAACAGAAACATGCTAACTACACTGAGTAGTAGAGAACTGTATTAAGAACTGTATTGAAGAAGTCATGAGAAAGACCCTGTATGCTTTGAGGGCATGGAGGTTCATCCAGTTACTAAGATGAAACAGTCCCCAGCAAACGTTTCCCAAATGTTGCTCCTTTTTGCAGGGAGATACCTCCCCTTTCAATTGTCCATCTGTAGATTTTTTCTATAATTCGGAGCAGCTCCTTTCTTTTAGCAATGGGACATACTTAGCCAAGAGACTACTGATCTTAGTAATGATAATGGACACTGAGAGAAAGGACAATAAATGAAACATTTCATTTGAAAATCATTCACTTCCATAATTAATGCACAATGATGCCAATAACTAATTCATTTAGCAAGATAAGAGCTAACCTTGGATTATTTTAACCATATACTATATTAATTTCAGCAGCTATGTATTTGAGAAACCAGTATTCATGGACCTTCTCTCCTTTTTGGCAAGAGTGCCTGTAGTATCTTCACCCTCTCTTGTCTGAAAAGCAATCTCATCTCAGAACCAAACAATACTTCTACATATTGGAAGGATGACTGTTTGGATGATATCATGAGTTCTTTTACCTGGCTGTTCCCAAATTTTATTAACTGAAGACCAAGAAACTGGAACAAGAAATCCAGCCTGCCTATTACAGCCCTGTACAGACCAGACATAGTAAATAACCCCCAAGGAAAAGAAGACCTTGAATTAGAAAAGAATGGTCTCAAAATTTCCTAATAAACAAACACATAAATAACAGAATTAAAGCAATAAATCAGGTACTTCATACCAGGCTGTCCCACAGGACTGGTGAACCATGTAGACAAAAATGGCAGGCCAGACATCCTCATACGGACTGATATCAAAGTGGTATCTAAGAAGAAAGTTTCAACTTAGTAAGGACAAAAGCATCTAAAACCAAGGTGAAAACGACTAGGCTAACATATATCTGACAGCATTCACTTGTTTCTGTATATACACAGAAAACTGACTTTACAGGCTCTATTTTCCAGCAATGTAAGTTAACATATTTCTGCTAAGGCCAACAAAACTATGCTCATAGAATCACAGAATCATTTAGGTTGAAAAAGACTCTTAAGATCATCAAGTACAACCGCTAGCCTTTGGTTAGCCTTCGGCTTTGTTTAGTTAATAGAAACATAAATCTTTATTTAAGAATCCATTGCTTAATGTAAAAAAATCTTTCTTCTACGGGGATGATGAGAGCTTTACAGGCATTCCTAAAATATTCCAGACTTGCCTCTCAGGAATTGTAAAGATGGTGTCTCTAATAATGTATTTACTAGCCTTTTTTCAGTAATTTCTGTCATGAATGCGGTGAGACTCACTCTAGTTTTGACAGGAAAAAAAAAAAAAAAATCAACCTTTACTGGCTAATAGAAATTAAGCCCAAACGTTAAAAATCAAACATTTAATGCTGCATTCTTTTTATGTTTCATTAGCTGATGACTTCTCCTCTCTCCCAATATCAACGTTTAGGCCTAATATTAGGGACCTGCTTAGCAGCACTGTTTGTCCTTCGATTATTAATTAACCCCTTTCCTTGCACCTGCCGTGCTGCAAGTCTTCTATTTACTTTCCACCGACCCCAGCTAAACGCTTGCACGTACGTGGCATACTGAACAGCGCAGCAGGTGCAAGAGAGCTGAAGGTAGCTGAACCGCTTGGAAAATGGTTAAATGTATTCAGATTGCTCAAACTAAAGGATGTTAATATAATTTAGCATGAAACCTGTCATCTTTGCAAGTAGGAGTAATTTTTGCTGAGGAGGTGGGTTATATAATATCATCTAACAAAGCACAAGAAATTGTATTGCAGAGAATAAGCTTCTGTTAGGGTGTAATCCTTCAAGCTGCTAATACTCTGGCGTTCAAGCAAATCACTTCAGCATGTAATGAACTTTAGCTGTAAGCAGCCCCTGTTAAGCATACGCTTGCACGCTTTGCTCGCTCACGGCTACAGTGCTCAGCGCTTGACGGGAGTGAACAAGCTCTGGAGATCAGGTTTACAAAGACAACTTAGATTTGGTGACTCGATATCATAGACTTCCGATTTTAGGCACCTGGTTACTACAGTAGAATTTATTGTCCTGGGCCAAAAATGGTGACTAAAAAATCAGATGACTCTGAGTGGGGACTGACTGGTAAAATACAGATAGAGCATCTGAACATCTTCAGCACACAGCAGATCCTTGAGAGCTGAAAGTAACTGAATTATTTCAAAGAAAGCCTAAGAGGCTGGATGGGAAGTCCTCCTCCAAATTTAGGCTGTAACTCTAAACTCTAGCACCTGGGATTCATAACCCTAATTATCTTCAGAAGTCTGGAGATCTGTATCCATTTTCCCCTCCTTCAAGAAACACAAGCAGATGCACAAAACACACACACCAAAAAAAACCCCCAAACCAAATCCCAAAACCCAAATTAAAACCCACACAACTCAGAAGATCCCAGGAATGAACTGAATCTTTTATTCTAAAACAGGTACAAGGGGATGAGAGCATGCATTTGGTCTTAACTACTGATGCTCCAGCTCAGTCTCCTCTCTGGCTCTGAGCTGTTAGTGACTTGGGACTATCAGAAAGCAAGCACATGTCTACAATCATTAGACATAAACTAATGCTTAAAGCAACTACTGTAGCTACCCATGCCCGAGGAATATGCTACCATTCCGAGTAGGTATTATTTTACACCTTTGATAGATAAATTTTGTTCACAGGTCATTAAGTGTAACTAAGTATAAGAAAGCCAGAGATAAACGCCTATGATTTTGGGATAGTTCAATAATAAAAGTGCTTCCTACAAAACCCTCCGCTACGCCTAGGGTGGGGGGGGGGAAATCTTTTTCATGGACTGATACAAGATGCAGCTGTCGCTATATGAGGAAAATACTTACAGTTCAATTTCTTTATAAATATGTGGAGGCAGTGTACAGTGCATGAGGTTTTGCCACTCTTCTGCTGTACAAACACTGTGGTAGGATAGCTTCTCCATCGTTACACGGTAAATACACTCTGAATGGCGAATTCTGTGGTACATCTGAAAAAGAGAAGTCATTCATGAATGTGAAATTTTAATAAAGGAAAAAACATTTCTTTCCTGTATTCAAGCACTTATTCTTAAAATACACATCTGCAAAAACATTAGTGTTTTTGGCTGCTCAACTTCATGCATTAGAAAAGCGACAGATTATATGAAATTCAGTACTTCAGGAAAACTGGGCCTTCTATCACATCATTCTGCATCTACTCACTTGGGTAAACATCTAAGGCTTGGCTAATTTTTCACTGCATTTTAGTTCTCACAAGAAAAAGAATCAAAGTTCAGGAGTTAGAAAAGGAGCTCAGTCCCTGCCAATACGCTAACAGAATGAAAACTGTTAACAGGGCATGATTCATATTTTGTGCCACTGCATGAATTCAGCTATTAATTGGTACAAATAACTGCTACCTATACCCAGTAAAAAGTACATGAGATGTTTATCACACTTACATTACTATGCAATAAATGTGAAAAATAAGTGCAGTTAATTATTGAGAGGTTCGGACAGCTATTGCAGACATGGCATGGTTTGTAAACAAGTGAGGACACAACAATTTTACTAGTAAAGATAATATGGAGCAGCATGCCCTGAATGGTAACATTCATCATCTAAAAAGAGTGAACTCACACACAACTGAGTGATTGCATAGTCCCAAGTTTCATTTATATGCAGGCCTTTCTACTTGCCCTGAGTCAGGTGGAACAAGTTTAAGTAATTGTTAGTAAAATTTGCTGCCCCAGTATACCGACAGCATGATGTTGGTAAAATGGCTTAATGTAAATCATCAGGCTTAACTGGCATTGCATTGTATCTTACCTCCCATGAATATGACACATTTCTTCTGCATTGCATTTTTATTGCAGTTATTGCATTTTTATACTTGTATAGCAATGATCATTAAATTGCTTATGTTTCCTACAGGAATAGTAATTTTTGTGATGATAAAGGCTTTGAAAACAAAAAAGGCTATCCACTCTTATCTAGAAGCATGGATAATTATGAGTATATAGGACAGCATATAAATGTATAAATTGGTATCGTTGAATATTAAGCATATGGAATCAAGAGAATACATAACATCCCCATCCCCCAGTTGAATTTGTAAAACATGTGACCTGAATTTATAAAAGTAAATAAGAATCATACTTTCTAATGGAAAAGCAAAGACAGACAGATATCATTCACATTTGAGAGCATCCCTCAGTTTAGCTACACGAACTTGATGTATCCAGAGTACAATTATTTCAGAAAGCATCAAACGAATCTCTATCATCCTCTTAAAATACAATTATTCAGCAAAGGATTCAATGATTCCAGTTTCCTTGTTAATTCAACAAAACAGGCTTATGAATCACTTTAATAATCTGGAACATCAAAATCCTTAAGTAGGATTCTAAGTCTTCTCATTATAACAAACAGCTTACAAAACTGTAAATAAAACTTACATTAGCACAGTGTAAGGCTAAAGCACAAAAGACTGCAAACATTTTAAAGTTGTTCTCATCAGTTTTAGAGAAGGCACTTCCACTTATTTTGTTCACCATCTGCACAACACCTATTACGCTTCCTCGGCTTACAATAGGCATGCACAGGATATTTCTGGTTGTGTAGCCTGTGTAGAGGTCTACTTCTCTAGAGAGCCAGAAAAGGGAAAGGAAAAAAAGAAAAAAGTTAATATTATTAATTAACTTATATTCCTTGATTCTCAGAAATGTTGATGTACAATATAGTAAGTAGTTTTAAAGTAGATGTAATTAGTACCTGCAAGAAGTTCACCTCCAAAGCTCTCAAATATTTCCATCTACAGTGTCATATTTAGAAAAAACTTTTCAACCCTTTAATCTCCATTTGCAAGATAAGGAATTAATCCTTCCTCAAATGTACAGTCAGCTTATTCATAAAATTAAAGAATACATTCAGGTACTTAGGCATGCTATTTGTTAGTGAACTTTTTTTTCTCCTCTGAAACTAATCAGATTGCAGGGAGGCTAATAAAGAAAATCAGCACCAGCCTACCTAACTGGGCAAAGTTCCATAGCAGGAAAAATAACTAAATTTTTCTCCTTTATACTTCTATTTGCTAAAAATAATACTTTTAATTGTATCTTGTTGTCTCCCTATCAGAGGATCACAGCTCCACGAATGCATTCTAATATGAAATTTAAGTAGTAAATTTCAGTAAAAGGTTTGGTAAGCTATCTTCCCCTCCCACGAGTAACATCGTACCTGTTAAAGCGTGGATCTGCATAGGCATCAGGGATGTTAAGGACCTCTCCTGTTCTTGCCACTTGACCAGCTATTCCTTTTTCTATAGAAAATCTGTAGGAAATAAAAATGTGTGTTAGCCACAATATGAACTGTCTGGAAAAACATTTTTCCAGTGGAGTCTGTCTTGGGCACGGTAATGGGTATTTGTTCCCAACCAGCGTAATTTTGATGCTTTTAGGAGAAAAATCTTACAAGACAACAACTAGTAGTAAATAATAAAAGAAAAAAGCACATGCTAATAGATACTTTCTGAAAACATTTTATATAACTACATAGCTTAATAGAAAAGATGCCATAATATGACCATTTTAATGACAAAAATTCAAAGCCTTCAATAACCCTGGGGGTTATGCCTAATAAACATGACATTATCATCACTTTTACATATTCATTGTTTCTTTAGACACATCATAGGCCATATAGAGCTTGTTTCTTCGGGTAGCAGGAAACAGACCAGTGGAAATTTCAAAGCTAAACATTATATGCGTTTGCCACTTCAGAATAACCAGCTTGTTTCATCTCATTATGTGCAAACAATGCCATGGTACTAACTGCATCGCTTCACCACCACAAGAAAGTTAAACACAACAAATATATTCTGGGGTCGAATCAGACAAATCTACAAGTCTGTCTTGTAAGGAAATAATTTTCAATTCATCGACCTAAAACAGTTATGACATACAAGCACAAAAGAATTTGTGGAAAAAAATAAGTAGAAAGAATCACATGTGGAACAATTGCAAATCTAAATGTACCTGGGTAGTATCCTGCCCACACTGAAGTTAGTGACAAAGGTGACAGGATTTCACCCTGCACACCTGACTTTAAGCTAGTTTCTTCTGCTGCCTGTTATGATATGTACATCACACCAACTTAAAGCTCCTTCCTGATGACTGACTCAGTCACACTTTCTTACAGATATTTAAGTTGTACTTCTCTTTCAGTATACAGCACCCATGAAATGGCTCACAGCCTCGCACACAGAGTCAACATTTCAATAATTTTCATACAGAAAAGACAGAAAGATATAAGCAAAAAAAACAATTACCAAGAAGGAGTATGAAAATACATGTTAAAGCAGGCCACCTTCTTTAATTTACACCACCTCCTTGCTTGTCAGTATTTGAATCGCACCAATTTTGACTCCTTCCATTCTCACTCACACAATGTAGTAGGTGGGAGTAAGTTTGTCTAAAGGATTCTAAGTGAAGACATGAATCACATCTCATATTGGCCTAAAACTTTAAAAGTATAAGAAGGAAATGAAAAAAAAAAATCTGAGAAAAATCTATGCTGAGTATTTTAACAAAATTTTAGTGCATGATATTTAGTCATGCATTTCTTTCTTTTTAAGAAGCTGCAGGTTTAAAACCTGTGTGCCTTTGAAAATCTCAATCTATATCTATTAAGGATTCATAATTTTTGAAGAGTGAAAAATGTTATATTGACTTTGTTCTTCTGCCTCTTTCATTAAAAAAACTTGCATATGTGTAAAAATTAGGTACTTGTGACATGAAGCAGAAATACACACCAATTTTAGGCAGAGAATCCTATGTATTCGTTACAAGCCCATATGCATTTTCAAATTTTCAAATTTCAAATTCAAGCATACTTCAGAATCACAATTATTTAGAAGTTTGAAAATACTCTACATTCACATGAGAACAAGTAAAACTAAATTACTGGACTTGAAATCTTCAAAACCAGTGACCAGTCCGTACTAGATTCTACACACACCTAATCCATCCGCAAGAAGTACAAGTTGTGATTTCCTTGCTTTGGATGTGCTTGAATCGCACAAATTTCAATTCCTCTTGGGAACCCTCTTGGGAAAAAAAGTCCCATACTGGCAGACTATGGATTAGGTGCACCTTTACCTGCACCTTTACCTACCTCAGAACACCTCTGTTTTTTTCCCAACATGATTTCCAAAAGGACCGCCTCCGGAAGACGGCATTTCCAGGAGTGACGTTATAGCTTCAGAGACGTTGTTTCGATGGCACTGCAATGTCATTCCCAGAAGTACTACCTTCTGGAGGCGGGTCCTGGTGGGAATGATATCACAGTATGACAAGTATTGTCAGGGTACCTGCAGGTAGGCACAGAGACTGGGTAACAAAATGCCTGCACATCCGTAGTTATAATGAAACCGCATTCTTCTGCTAGCTACCCTTACCTTATTTCTTTGGTCTTCTTGAAGACAGGTTTCCCATCATTTTCTTCTCCAATATCAAAAAGGTCTGAATACAGCTCCTTATTTTTGTGGTCAACCTGGAAGAGTGCACACCTATCTGCATTCACCAGGTTTTTTGCATATATCTATAGACAAAAAAAAACACATTAGAGTTAACGGTCCTGCGTTAGATTATGTTTAGTCATTGTCTGATAAAAATGTAGGTCCCTAGAAGATAAAAGTGTTGAGAAATTATCCGGTATGAAAATCTGTTTGAAGTAGCATCCACCTTCACAGCAATCTTTTAGGATACAATTCAAAATGAAAGGATGTCTTTTATTCAATATTTTTTTTGTAAATTAGAGTGTACTCTTTGAGAAATGTGGGAATATCTTTAGAGGCTTGAATGTTTGCTGTAAGGGAAGAGGCTTTTCTATTACACTGTTTTTCAAAATGGTACCTTTCCTCCTTAGATAGTTTAGGTATTATTCACCTTTACCTGACTTTAAATAGACAGGATATAGCAAGACTTAAGAACATTTTTGGCCTTTTGTCTTTATATTCAATGCAAAATATATTGGTATTGAATATCTGGCAAAGACAGACATAACAGAGAGGCTAGTGTTTGTTTCTAAAAAAGCTAAATGCACCTGTAATACATAACAATGAACAAATAGGGAATATTAGAAGTGTCACTATGGATTGCCCTGTGCAGTAGTATACGAAATGGCTGCACCCTCCTGATGCTAGGGACAGTTCTTGCACAAAAGCTGAGACTTCGTAGTTCTACAGGAACTAACCAAAGCCCACAAGGTACCACACCTAGTCAAGAAAGTACCACACTACAGCAACAGACTTGCATGGTCTCTACCATACTTTGAACCAACTAGTTTTATCTTAGCAAAACTAACTGCCAGCCAGCACTGATTGTCAGAACAGAATCTTGTCCCGGGAACACGGCAGCTCTTCACTGAAATGTTTCTCAGACACACGATGGGTTTTCTGAGAGCAATAGGAAAGAGTGAACCAAAGTCAAATGAGGATCACTGGGTGAACTTCAGATGCCATATACTCAGGTTCAAGAACCTGCTCTGTCCGATTCAGATATGCATCCTATGTTTCTTATCTCCTCAGAAAGTATAGTAACTGCATGGTAGCGCATGATCTCAGGTGGATCTTGCTTAAATTTTAAAATTGTATATAATAGCTATCCAGTCATTCAGCCACAGAAAGAGGCTGACTACATCTTGGCATGCAATGCATGCAGGTGGCGTGTCTTAAGAATTCTTGAGACTTCCATATGAATGAACTCCCCTCCCTTCTCGCTTGTCTTTCAAAAATAAAGCCAAAAACCTAAAATATTTGATTTCATATTAATGTAAATAGATAAACATTAGACTTTGGCAGAAAAAACCTCTCAGACAATAAATCATTAGTCAGGAGACTAATTCCATGTCACGTGAGCTGTGTAACGGGAACTGCACAGAAACCATCTAGACCAACTCTACAGAACTTGGAGGCCCCTCCTGTACCGACAGAATCGGTGGCTGGAATGATTCTGTTGCTTTCTACTCCATTTGCTCCATCAGAGCAGTCGAAAGTCAGGGAGACTGCAAGCTAAGAGGTAACTTTTGTGAAATATTTCCCACTTAGAGCATTAAGAAGTTTAAAGATCTCGACCACTCACACCGTTTATTCCTTTGCTCAAAACAGAGTGAATAGAAACTGTGCCAAAAAGGACAAGGGGTCTAGTAAATGCTTCTCCACACCTATTCTGAAGTTGTATCAGATTTCTTTATAAAATCAACAGCACAGTGTTGATTTTATACAATTAACTTCTGTGTTCTAATGCATATGACTCAAGAACTTACCTTGGTCACGACTCATGCTTTTCAAAAATAACTGCTTAAACACTACTAATTGAGAGAAACAGTTAATAGGATGAGAAAGTCTTACTTCCCTAAAGCCCTAGTTCAAATCCAGGCCAGTGGCTGAAGGGGACTATCAGTACAAAAGGTATGCTTTGCATTGTCAATAAGGAGGCCAGGGACCACCTTTTGGGTAGGTTGCTTGTAACTACTCAAGCATACTGGTAAGAAAATTTGCAAGGCAACTTGAACTTCTGCTTCCCCTCCTTGCATCTATATTCAAAACACCCTTATACTATTAACTTTGCTGAGGGATTTTAATGAAAAGAATGCTAAAATGCCTGTACTTTTTTCTTTATTATTACAGGAACAAATCAAACTTTAAGTGCAATCACCAAAGGGTGAAGTAGTGAGGTGAAATTGAGTTCCACTCTTTTCTTACTGTGAGACACAGAATAAGGCACATAATGATAAAATCACACTCCCATAAAATGGCAATAAATGTAATTCAACATATAATGCAATTAATTGGCCCAAGAAACAGCCGACTGCTACAGCTTACAAAGGAAGCTGAGTATGAAACATCTCCGCAGGTTAAAATGCAGAATCATGATGCAGCCAAGTGTTGAAAAAGAAGATGAAAGAGTAAGCATATTTTACTGCCAATTGTGTTCTCCACCAGACCTCTATTCACAGGGAAGAACAGGGAAGAATATCAATATTTGTTCTCAATGCCATATGTTATATTACACCAGTTCTTTTAAATGTTAAGCTATTTTTAAGGAGTTCATTTAAATTGGAAAAGTCAATGTTCAGAAATGTGTCCTATGTGCAGAATTCTTGACTGTGTACTAACTAGAATAAGACAAGCACTGCAGAATATTTTCCATTACTAATTCAAGTTTCTAAATAAAACCACTTTAATATTGTTTGCATTCTAAGTTTGTTGTCTTTGAATAATCTAGCTAAGAATATCACTTTGAAATTTGGAGCAAGTATTGAAGTACTGTTGGAGAGTAATTTTTTGAATACACAAATTGAAATAATAGTATCACAGACCTGATTAAGATTTACATTCAGGAAAAAGAACTGCAGTATGCCATGAATGTGCCTAAAGCTCAAAAGCATAATTCATATATCAAACATTTAAAACATGCTACGAACAACCAGTCCATATATATGTAAACACTATTCAGGAAATAATTCTGAATTCAAAATTGATTCAGAAAACTATAATCTGTTTCTCGACTTGACTTTAGTGGTTTTTATAAAACATTGACTGACTGTCACTCTAGTTATGGGTGTAAAGACTTTTGCAAAGAAAAAGGGATGTCATGTGTTGCACATCTCATTCAGCAACTGGAACAAATACTCTATGAGTTATGCTTGATCTCTAGTCCTGCTACAGACTACAACTTCTTCAGAAGCATTTTGCAGCATGTAGCAAATTGAATTTAGAAAAAAAAAATCAATACAACAAGCTGAAATAAAAAGAAAAGCAGAAGCCTTTCTGTTACAATTTCCACACTTTCTCTAAAACGCAATAGTAACTATTCAGTTCAGAGAGACAATCACGTTTCATTACTTATGAAAGCCGAGAAACAAAGTTGTTGCGACAATGAAAAATCAAGCTGACCTTTGCCACCTTCTTCCATATAGAGACTGTTTGCATTAAGTGTCCATTATTAACAGCTCAAATATTTCAATGATGTAATGTCTTACTTCAAGGAAGCAGTTTAATAACTAAGACTAATAAACTACAGAAGTGAAGAAGTCAACTTACCATTATATGTTCAAGTAGAGAATCTATTGCAACTATATTATCAAAATACGTTCTGCAGAAAAAGAGAAGTCAGTAAATATTGGCATTTAGTCAAACACTTCTCAAACGGCTGTCATGGGCTCTTGTTTCACAACTGCTTAACCGTGGAGCCCAAATAGGTGAGGACAAACCTCTGCACCTTGAAAATTACTGGCTGGCGTGCTACAGCACAAGGGAATTGCGAAATGGTCCCAGCTCTGTTCCTTTAAGCCATTATTTTACAATGATGGAATTGTAGAATATTCTCTGTAATATGTAGAATTTTCTCCGTAGAAAAGGAAAAGACTACCAAAGATTGCCTGCCATGGATTGAATAGGCCCCTGCTGAGCAACACCAAGAATGTATCAAAATACTTTGGCACCCTTTACACACCGAAAATTTTAAAAGGAGAAGTAAAACGGAAAAGAACAGCAATCCAAAAGATTAAAAAAAAAAAAAAAAAAAAAAAAGAGATTTTTTTCCATTGCTGATATATATTACCTACATGCTTTCAAAATGTCTCATTAGGTTTATGCATAGAGGACTGTGTACTGAGAACTAATGAAAACTATGTATTGTAGCTAAATTCACCTCATATTATCCAACCTTTAACAATATTTAAAAGGCAACAATTTATAAAACTCTTAATGAGTCTTCTCTATCAACCCAGGTGTAGCATGTTGAAGTTGCAGAAAAAGACTGATCTTGTGACTTAAAAACAAACAAACAAAAAAAGTATCTCAGTTTCACAGCAAAGTGGAAACTGTCCAAGGACAGTCAAGAACATTGAAAAATAAAGGTCAAACTTATTAGTAAAAGAAGTCTAAATCTTTCACATGCCAAGTCTTAATAACCCTTGGATTACAATGTTCCCAGCAGACAGAAAGACATCATCCCATGGCCTTGAACATATACACAGCTCAGTTTTGTTTGGGTCTAGGGGAAAGGAAATATATAATACCCTAGTCTTACATTGTCAGGGACATGAAGAGGTGGAGCACTGCATACTATGCCCTTTCTAAAATGTTACAGAACATGTCCCAGTGACATTGCATGCTAACAATTTCCTCACTGAATAGGAAACCCTCTTTCCACGTAAGAAAAGGTACAGACCATTTCTAAGAGGAAACTAATTACTTTCTTGCTAGTGCAAGTCTTTACCTGCATGAAGTTCATAAAGTTGTTATTAAATGATATCCCAATTTTGTGGCTCAAAACACAGGGGGGTTTGTTGTTAAAACTGAACAATTCTAGCAACTGATAATGCTGTATGAGAGGTATTGTCTTACAGAAATACATATTAAATATTTGCAGTATTTATTGTAATTTTTATCTTAAAAATTTAAAATAATCACAAAGTTCTTTAAAACAATCTCAGTACTATGTACCAAGATAACAAATTGCCAGCCCATAAATTTGGGTAGATTAATCCAGAGTTCCCTGGTAAACCAGCTCAGTACAGATGTTAGCAACATAAAAGCACTCTGGAAAGGAACATAACAGTGCAAGACGTTGCAGGAAGTGGGTTCTGGCAAGGGAACGATGAGAACGCCCTTGGGGAGACACACTCTGAACCTAAACCGAAATTAAAAAAAAAAAAAAGGTCATCCCTGAGGAAAAAAGCTAAGGAAAAATATCTGGATACAACCAGCTTGCCCTCCTTGTAAGGGGTAGACTCCTCCCTGCGGTGTATCACTCCCCATTCCAGCCAGGTTGACTCAGCTGCGTACATTCCTAGCAAAGGCATAGGAATCTTGGATGTCCTCTAATCTCACCAGTTTGAGAATTGTTCATCACAACCCATGGAAGTGTTTGTAACAGCAAAAATCCAAGACATCTCATTTTTCCAAAGTATTGTCAGTCCTTTATGATTCACTTAAAAATTCTTCAACCAATTAGTTTGATAAAACACTGTTAAACACCCCAGACTGTGATTTACCAAAAGTACAACTCTGGTTTGTCTTTTAATTTATTGGCTATCTCTACTATTTAAAGATGCTAATAGCAGCAACAAAGAAAAAGGGATGAAGGAAGAGCATATCACCTAAGACACCAAACTGACTTTCCAAGTCTAAGCCCAAGTTTTCATACTCTTCACTGTGTTTTCAATTTAATCTTGCACTTACTGTGACAAGAAATTAAAAGGAAACATACCACATGCAGTTACAGTCTTTGAAAATGAAAACAGAGCCTCCAGAAAACGCAGGGGAAGAACAATTTTGTGGCAGCCCTGATTCTTCAAGGATATATCCCTGAAGTGCATATACTTAGGCATATATGTATGTGTATGCATACATGTCAAAAAAGCGGGGGGAAGGTGAAGCAGGCTAACTAACTTTTCATAGTCCTTTCAAACCTTCTAAAATTGGCCATGAAAAGAGATGGCAAGCCTATTGGTCACTTCTCAAAATAGGGACATGTTTAACTCTGACAGAAGAGGGGAAAAAAAGACAAAAAACGCATGCAAAGACTAAATAAATCCTGTACAGTATAATTGGATGTTACATTTCCTTCTGCACCACCACCGAAAAAAAAGTTTAACAGGTATACACCACTGCCACCCACATCATTCGTTCTTGTCCCTGTGCCGAAGTTTGCCCACCCTCCAAGGTGTGCCTTCTTGTGAGCTACAGTGTAAAACATGGGTAGGTTGGAAAAGCCACGTTAGAAAAGTTTATCAAAATAAATTGAAGAGGTTATAGTGCAAAGCAGACTTACTTCGATACATCAAGCAAGAAGTCGTTCAGTTCAGTCTGCTTGGCAAGGCCCCGGCACACCTGGAAGCACAGATCACTTTATCATTTGCTCCAGAACACTGAAGTCAGAGGGAAACCGAAGTCACGCAGTCTACCCATTTAACGTGTATGAAAAAAATACCACTACCAGGATATACATATGTTACAGCAGTGTATAAAATTAAAAGCTGGATTTGTGTGCTGGGCTTCAACCTTAGCTATCTAGCTGCTGAGTTAAACCTGTCAAATGCAAGTAACATCTTTCTTAAGACTCTTTGAAAGATGTTGGTTGTTACACTTGTTCATGCTGTCTCAAAAGCTGCCACTGAACGTGGTTATGGAACCAACTTGACACCTCCTTATCCAGACCCTCAGCTCTTCTGAAAATGTCAAATATTTTGTTTGCTTTCTTCCTTACCATACTTTTACTACTTTTTTCCAGGTTGCAAAGTAGCATGGACACACTACTGAAGACTGACATCAGGCAAGTTTAAGTAAGCTAAGTAGCAGATGATATGTGCTCAACTTTGGGAGAAGTCAGCACGAATATGAACACAAAAAAATAGTATGCATACGATATTTTAGAAGCATATTTTACTTCACCTGATTGCATACTCTGTATCTAAAGTACAATTGTACAACTGTATATTACTAGAGCAAGCACTGAGGTCAGAAAAAGAAAACCTCTACTGTTTGTACCTTTTACACAATAACATACCACTCAGAACTACTCTCTTTAATCTGTGCAATGCAGATATAAATAAATATGCAAAATATGACAAACTACATCCACAAACCTTACTCTTGCATATAATTAAGTAACTAGGTACAACTTCTTGATATACGCTACTTCCTAAAGCCTAGCTGTGAGTCTGGTAGGTATGGCCCAAGGCCAGATCAAAACTCTTGCATTCTTCTCATGCAAAAACTTGGGAAGGGCAAGCCTTCTGCTTAGCAGAAGGGAGAAAAATGAAAACGATCACGGGACAGGCTTAAACTAAACTTTCTATGTTTTGTTTTGTTAGGTGTGAAAGACTTCTCAGTTAAAGAGAGAGTCATTTTTACAAAGTGAAGCTACAACTGCATGCGATTGCAATTCTGCTAGTGTACAACAGTCTACACCAGCTAATTCTGCCTAAATGTGCCAGGGTGAATGACCATCCCAGACAAAGTCAATGACTTCTAGTACCAAGGTGGCAAATATTAGAGTCTAGAAAAGAAAAGCAGGAAGCTTTGTGCAAGTCTTCTGCCAAGTGTGTGAAAGCCACCTTGAAAAAAAGAATGTCACGAACTTCCTCCTGTGAGTTGACAGAAGAACCCATTTTAGCATCTTCTGTAAAGTTGACAGAGTATGTTTAGCTCCAGTGTCACCGTCTTCTATGAGCTGAAGTAACAGAAGCTACGAGCAAAGCTTCTGGGGTTTGCTCGAGCAGCTTGCACTGTGTGGAGGAGCTTCATTAAGCACCCTGCTAGGGACAGCATGAAGCATCCTTAGTGGGAGAAGTAACAGGACCACGAAGCAGCTAGCAAGGATAGCTTAAACCAGGCTTAGCCAGCAACACCTAATAATTTCAAACTGAATACCAAAGCAGGAGGAAAGCAACCAGTTGGCCTAGCAGTTGCCTTCTTTCTTACAAGAAAAAAACTGCAAAGTTATTATAATTCTGCTTTAACCACTATTTATCTACCTTGTTAAGGTTTCTTTTTCCCTTAGTAAAAATACTGTTTGTTAAGATATTTGATCCACCATTGCAAGTGAGGAAAACTAGCTCAATGAACACAAAAAATGTTAGCGTATTTTTCCCAGGTTCAGGGAAAAGTGCTTGAATCGATATTTTAGTAGTGACCTCCATTTAAATTTGACCATAATCCATGTTCCTACTAATCAAATTCTGGCAGAAGGGTTACACAATGAAAAAAAAACCCCAACCATCCACACTTACTTGTACTTGATGTATTGCTACTGAAGCCCATGCAAGATTTGCTGTTGCAACCTGAAACAAAAGAGAAGAAATTAACTCTGAAGAAACCTTGAAAACTGCACGTCAGTTACATACTCATTTTCTCTATCTTACTGCTAAGTAAATTGACTGAGCTGTTTTAGACAGGCAGGCAGTAACAATTTGTAGGAAGACAGTTATTTTGTGAAAGTCTCAGTATACTTGCGAGTGTTTCAATTTTAGTAAGGTACATTCAGTCACAAAAGAACAATCCTAATTTTTTGTATCAAAAAATTGCTTACCAATGCCCTTCAGAAGCGGTACTGGGAACCCATCAGCTCAGAAATACAACATCAAAACACACATCTCATAAGCCAAGGGCTTTAAAAATTACATTATGTACATTGTTGAAAGGCATCTGCCATAGAAATAAAATATGCCATAACATCTTTCCGGGGCTGTATCTCTTCAGCCACAGCTATTTCCAGCTGTAAACAGGCACTGTTTCTTTCACTACCATTTTGGTGGTAGAAGAACCAGACCTGATCCCTCAGCTCAAGACCAGTGTTTTAAGTATGACAGTTTCCAGGCAACATTTCAAACAAATGTCATGTAAACTGCAGTTAACCAAGATGTGCTACTATACATAATCTCCCGTCCTTGAAACACAGGAGCTTTATAGGAACACAGAGGACAGAAGTACAAGAGGTCTGCTGCTGCATACACTCCTAAGGTACTTTTTTTTTTAATTTTATTTTTCTTTAACCAGAACACATTGTACACATTTTACAAAAAGTGCTAGTGGTATCCAAAGGCTTTCTGAAACCTGAAAATGAAAAGAATGCTTTGGAACACTCAGAAAGTGACCCTAAAATATTTTTAATTTACTAATAAAATACTTTTATTTAGCAGCCAGTCTCTTCCAAAGAGAACATTCATGAATTTCAGTTACAGAAGGTATTTCACATAACATAAAAGATTCATATTTGCACAGAACAATGCATGTCTCAGACCTATCTGAATTGTAGACTGATTAATGTTACAGGATAATTTTAAAAAAGAAATACATTGTGTGTAAGCAGCAGAACTGATAAAGCCTGGTTTTGCATGAATGCCTGTTCTTCGTTCAGTGAGCAAGGCTACTGGCACCACCATACTAATCCAGTCCCCTAGTGGTGAAAAAATACCATGTGGGACCCTGAGGCTGAAGCAACATTGACTGCCCAACTAATACACATGTATGAGCATCACATATATGCTAGGCTGCTTAGGTTACTGATAAACAGAATATACAATTGACAAACATTGCTGTTTTTTCCTTCCTTGGGAGGGCTGGTTTTAATATCTCTTGTCTGCATGTCTTCTGTTCTTTTCACATGAGTAACTCCTGTTCAGTACAGCTAAACTGCTCCATGGTGCATCTCGCACCACCGTCGAGACAACAGACCTGTCTAGAACTCACCCCATTTTGTCCTAACCTCTGTGTTCAGGTTCTCTTCCCTGGGGAAGGGTACAGAGAGAAATGAACAGTACATTCATCTTAATGTGAGAGTCATCTTAATGTGTGGATGGGACATAACAAGGAATCTCACCCAGACATGAAAGCCAAGATGCACTTCTAACACCTTTGATACAGCAACAGCCTTTAAGACATCTGCTCCATTTTCAAATTTGTTTGTACTTGGCTAACAATTCGTAACTTTGGATTGACAAATGGACGTGTGTGGACAATGTAGCTACAGAGGCCTCATATAAACAGAGTAAACCATGCAGTGTAGAGAACAGTCATGGAAGTGGGAAGATAGTTATGAATGGGAATATCTGGATGGGGAAGCATCAGGGGGACAAAAAAGCAGAAGAGAGCTTTACGAATGGCACCTAGATTAGGAGATCATCCAGGTACCAGTACATCTACACACAGGTTCTAAGGACATCTGGGTCAGGAGAAAAAGGACAGTGAGTAAATCTTGATGACTTACAGAGATGGGACAGGCTAGAGAGACAAAAGATGTTCAGCTCCTAAAGGCTAAAGAAAAGGCTGACCCAAAACCAGCACATGGTTGGTAAGCTAGGAAGAAACCAGGAGACATAAGGACTCAACAGATGGCATCCCTTGTCCTCCCATTGCAAGGCTTCCTGGAGAGACTACCTGGATATGCTCATCTCTGCACGCGACTCTTGGAAATACCACCTGGACACACACAACTCGGTGTCTGAGAGTGTGCGGATGCAAGAATGTGAATGCAAATACATGAAATCTCTTTTGCTTCACTTTTGTTTTAAAATAAAATCCCCTTCCCCTCCCATGACACCTAGCATTGAGACTCGGTATACTGTTTCTACAACCCTGCAACATTATGTTTTACAATGGCGCTCATTCACTTGAAAAGCCACACCAAAACAGCCAATTAAAAAAAATAATAAATAATTTAAAAAAAAATCTTTCCATACTGTAAAATACAGCTTTACTGGAAAGTTAAAATTGAGACTCAGGATAACTCAGCAGTGCCCTTTTTTTATAAAGTAATTTCTTTTTTTGACATCTGATTTACACTTATATTTCATTCACCTGATCTGCATTAACTTCTCTAACAACTCCATATTGAGTTTATAATCAATAAAGAAATCTTGGACCTCTTTTTCCACAAAAGAACACAGGGTAAAATTCTTGATGTGTCCCTGTACTTGTATATATAAATTTTACCTCCTGTAACTGAAAATACAAATCACTACTTCTTTTTTTTTTTTCATAAGTAACGTTCAATGAGAACAAAACTCAAGTATGAAAAAGGTAAAAAACACCTGAGAAGAGTGAGAGAAGGAAGTCTGGGGGGGCTGAAGTGCTGACCGTTGTGAGGAAGTGGGGGAAGGTTAGGCATGAGCTCACCTCTTGGTGACTAAGGTGAAAGGCTTCTTTGCCCCAGTGACGGTAAAGCTCCAGGATACCAATCAGGTCACCAATTGCAGTGACAATTGGCAAACACAGAACAGATTGGATACGAGTCCCTGATTCCAGTCCAGTACCTTTGGGAAATCGCTCATCCTAGAAAACGTAAACATAATCTGATAAAATGTAAATATCATAACATTAACATGGAAGATATACGGACGTTTTCCTCCCTCTCCTGGCTGATCAAATCTGCAGGAAAATGATAAAATTCACTAAAACTCATATCTCAGCATAATTTACACACAGTATTAAGACATCTACTGAAAAAAATGCAATAAAAAAGTCTCAGCACTAATTTATATATACAGATAAACTTATTGATGTAAAGTCAGAATTAGGCGTGATATTAGACCCAGCTTTGGGTTTGTTTCTATAATACATTTTCTCTAATCTCACAGGCAGCAAAACCAGCACTTCATTGCTAATGCCAGTGCAGATTAAGTAAAAACCCAAACAAACAACACTCCCCCGCCACCCCCCCCCAAAAGTCCAAAGCATTTTAATTATGAAATGGATTGCTCAGATTTCAGTGTTACCAAGCAGACAGCAGTGCTTGCAAGAGAACAAAAATCAAAACCTAAGGCTAAGGCTTTAGGTTATACAGGTTTATAATCCTCAACCGACTCCTGAAGAGGAAAAAGTGTTCCCCCAAAATTATGCATGAGAGTAAGAATCTTTCTCCTTCCCTTGCTTATGCATCCTGAATAAACCGGTGCAAAAGTTACAGGAACAAATGTTAAAATAATCCTACCAGCTGCTATAAAAGGCCCAGATTCATAATTTTTAAACTACATAGGGAATGTCCAAGGCTTTATAGCTTCAGCTCCCCGTGTAGGAAAACTCACAAAGACCTGAGAACCAGCTGGATGTTACAGTTAGTAAGGCAGTAACTAGCCGACATGAAGCAAGCGAGACCCGACTTGGTTGCACATCAATCCTCCTTGATTCTTCCCAGATGTTCCCTGCGGGCTGTGCTTAGGCAAGACAGACACTCCTGCAAAGCTGATCAAAATCCCTTCTTTCTCAAAGAAAACAGCAAGTAATCTCTACCTTAATTACTAAGATGATAATCAACCTGAAGGCTTGGAACAAATGAAAGACAAAAGAGAGTGGGAAGCACTTTGCAAAACGAGCCCCCTGCTTTCACTTTTTAATTTCGTCCTCCCCCCAAAAAAGGGCTGGCAAGTCTATCTGCAAGCACTTCCCTTTCACGTTTGAGATGCTCCTAAAATCACATGAAGGCCAACCATGTCACCAAAATTAATTTCCCTGTTCGGTCAACAATCCACTGATACTATGAATATAAAATCAAAACATGCAGCCTTGTATACAAGGATATCATGATCAGTAACAATTTAAGCTCTATATGTGACGGAAAAAGCTTAACAACATATAAAATCTTTACAGTCCAGGGTATACAGAAAGCACTGACTGTTACTACAGGGAAAGCAGCTTCTGCTTTTTGCTTTTGTGGTTCTGTTTAAGTGTACTCACATTAGGCATTTGGTGTTTTGTTTATAGCCTGGGTTTGCCCAATAAAGGTCATATATTTTTAAACGAATATTTTTTAAAATAGAGACACAAATGTCCAATTTTGGCCACAGTATCCAAAGACTGTTATTCTGGGCAGAATTGAAAAGGATAGAAAACACTGAAGACAGAAGATAATTTAAATGTCCTTGGTGTTCTCATAACCAGCTGATCATAACGTGTTCTCATAAAGTACAGTTTAAATACCGATTTCATACAATTGCATAGATGAAACTAGAGGATGAAGTTTTTAAAAAAAATTAAGGACAGACATGCAGAGTGCCAAGAATTATCAGAATATCACCTTAGGATTTTCTGAATCCTTTGACGGACAAAGGCCTGAATTTTGATATCAGTTACATATAGTGTGTCTTCCATGTAGGTCTACTTACAAGCATTCTGGCTTTACATTAGTGTAAGCAGAGATCAAAATCCTGTCTAATAACCAGAATTCTGACTGACATTCGTGTCAGTGTGAGCCCTGCATAATAATTAAATCAAACTTTGATTGACTATATGGGAGTCTTCTTGTTTGGGATTAGCACACTAAGTATTTCAAGACCAGGAGGACAAGAGTTTTTACTGATAGATTTTTTTTTCTCTACAAGTGACTATGGTACAATTACTTCCCTTAACTGACAACCAAAAAAAACATTAAAAGACAAAAAACCTGAAAACTTTTAAACTTAAAAATAAACGAGTTTTTCTGAAATTATTCCATCAAGCTAATCCAAACTCAAATTTATTTTCTTGGTAGCAAGACAGATGTAAATTCTATCATTATACATTCAGCTCAATAAACATCTCAGCATCAAAATATTCATTCTAAGAACATGCTGTAATCATCTTATTAAAAAGAGAAAGCTTTTTACCCCCAGAATATCTTCCACTAACAATGTTTTTCTGGATCTGGCTACATAAGCAGATACTGTAGTGCCATGAGCAATGGGCCCTGCAGGAATGAGCCGTGGTTGTCCTTCTTTAGCTCCTGGTGGTGTAAATACACACAGACTCTAGTTAGAAGGAAAAAAAAAAAGAGAACAAAAAAGAATGCAATTAGAAGCATGGTCACCTTTATCTATGTAGCATAAAGGATTGAGTAAAGTAGATAATGCGGAGAAACACAGCTTTTGACAATGAAAAGTAGTTGGATAAACTCTGCTTAACTGTTTTGAAATCTTAGGGAATCCCACTCTAAAGTCACCATTCAGACTGTGGATAACTCTTCTGCTGAAGTCAGTCATCGCTTATATCAGGATTGGATTGCGTTTACCTTGAACACACAGTACACTGCATAAAGACTCACAGAGGAAAACATTACCTTGTAAGAGAAAGATGGTTTTTTTCCTAGGATGCACTCATTTATTTAGATAGAAAATACTCAAAAAGTAGAGATAATCTTTAAATTTCTTGTTTATCTCATCCCAAGGAAAGGTAATTTCAAAATTATCCTAACGTTCTATTTCCTGAAATCCAAGTGACTGCATTCATCCCCCGTACTAAAAGAAACATCTATCTTACTTGCTGCCTACTTAAAACTGTCTCATTTGTTGAAAAGTCAGGTATGACAACATTTATATCATGAAACTCATCCAGAAACATCTGATAATTGTTCTATAACAGAAATATGAAACAAGTTAACACCACCAGAATGAATGGGATTGCAAATAATATTTTACAAAAAGAAAATTAAACACGCATATAGAGGTCGAACCTGCAAAACCTTCTGTATGCCAGACACTCTTCATATCTAAAATTTCATTCATTTTTGGATGAAAAATAAAATTTATGGAACAGTAGAGTGCTGTAAAACAATGTCCCTATCACAGACTCTAAATGTTCCTTTATTTTTCCCCTCAGGCAACTTGCAAAGACAAAGTGTGTTAGTGACAACTGATTTTAGTCAGAAAAACACAAAAAACCCCAACCGTGTCTCCAATGCAATCAAGCAGGAACAGTTCATTTTACAAGCAAAAAGTTTCATCTTCTGTTTTATTTTTCTACCTTCGTCTCATTACATCCATCAATTTATGTATCTCATAACGCTATAGAATCCCAGAGGCTCTCAAAATTTTAAAGCGTTTATCACTGCCACACCCTATTCAGCACAGCGGAGCTATTACCCTTTAAACACAAAGGGCATTTAGGCACATGAAGAATAAATGACATGGCAAAGGTTACAGAAAGTATTAGAACAGCAGGGATCAAATCTGTATTTCCAAGACTTCAGCTTAATGTCCTAATCTCTTGAGCCATCCCTCCTTATACATTCTTAATATTAACACAACTACAGCACCACATCAGACACCCACCTTCTATTGGCAAATTGTGTTTTCTTATTTGCTATAATCAATGATCCAATTTATTTCACTGATAAATTTGTAAGACCAGGAGTATATATAGAGAGATCCTGTAGTAAGTAACTCTACTGCTAAATAGCTGTATGATTTAAAATTATGAACTTAAAGCATAAGAACTAAGATGAAACATTTTAAGCAAAGATCCTTGCAGGAAAATATAATTTTTTTAATCTTTTTTTTTCATTTACGTATAGAATACCACAGATAGATGATGGTGCCACCACACAATGTATTACTAACATTCCTGGTAGGAATGGCCACATGTTGTGCCATTCCTTTGTACTGATTAATTTTACTATCAGACTTTGCTTTCATTAGGGCTGCTATGAGGGTCAATCACCCAAGATTCTACAGCATCAACAGTTATGATAATAAACATTAATTACTTCTAATCTGTCTCCTACATTTATCATTCACAAAGGTTTCTGTAACAGTAGACAAAAGCAAGTGCACAGGTGCTCCAGATTCCAGTAGCTCAGAATGCAGCGTTGCCCTGAAAGACTGAACAAAGAACTTTTATTTTGTTTAAATAAGATTCCAGCTTAGGCTTAGCAGTAAGCAGGGAGCTTCGCACTGGAATTGTTATTATTTAAATATTATGACATTATATGCATACTTAATTCCTTGCAGAAAAAAAGCCCAACAGAAAATCTAAAAAAATCTATGGGCCCAATTCATTAAAGAAATAAAGTGAAATCTAGGCACCATGAAATCAGTGGCATTTCTCTTATTTTGCTCTCCTAGACCTGTGACGTACCTCACAATCTCTAACTATGCATTATTACGACTCCTCTGTAAGCTGGGTGGTGACGCTATCCTCATTTTATAGATGGAAACTGTGACAAAAATTTTGTATTGATACGGATATTTTAGCTGAGGCTCCCATCACCATTTGAGTACGAACTTCACAGCTCACCACATAGCCTACAGAATGCCTTCCGCTATGGCTTAGAGCTAGAGGGAGCCAAATGGATCACAAGACAAAGAAAACTCAAGTGTGAAAGAAAGGAGACATACTTCAGAGATTGATAGTTACCAATTTGGGCCCTGTGAGACCAGGTAAACTACTAAACAGGGGCTGTTTTCTAGCACGGAATATTAAAGGTAAAATTTGCATGTGAAAATCCAGCATCTGCTGTCAGCTGTAGAAAATGAAGCGATGATATGAGATGCATCCGTTCATCATTATCATTTCTTTATTCTGCAAACATGCAAGGCACATTATAAAATGTACTAAATTCAAAAAAGATCAAACTGAAATCTGCAGAAACTACGGAGATGCAATATAATGCACCATATATAGGTACTCCTGCAGCTATGGAGGTACCTTACCTGTAACAGATTAACAGCATTTTGGAAGGAGAAAGTTGGATTTTATGCTGAGGAGAAAACAAATGGTCAAAGGAAAAGTATGGATTTCATAGCCACAACAAGAGTGAAGTCTATCCAAGAAGAATCAGTAGTCCAACAGTCAAGGGCATTTAGTGAGTTCAAAAGAAAAACACTCAAGATTCTGACAAAACCAGTAACTGAGTATTTGTCTTGTTCTTAAGCAGAAAGTCAGGCAGTGACTGACAAGTCATTTCAGCATATTTATTGCTAGATCTCATGCAGTTGGAAGGAAAGGTACTTCCTCCTTGGAGTAGCTCTACTGAATATGCATGGGGTTTACTCCATTTTAATGTCTTGCACTATGGTACAAGTGCATGAAATCTTGAAATTTTCTGTTTATTCTGATCCCAGACCCCAACCTTATTCTTCAAACCCATTTACACTCACAGCCTCTTTAAAGAGTGGCCTTCAGCAGTGAAAGACACTGGAAAAGTCAGATTGTTTATTTTCCATATGAATTACAAGAATGTGCTACATAAATAAGCAACACACACAAAACCCAAACAACAAACCCCATTAAATCAGTACACTGAATCTGCCAGAACAAGCCTGCTCAATTTACCAAAATAAAAAGCTCCATTTATTCTTTCTTATAATCTAATAAAATAAAGACACATATAATTCTTAAATGAAAACTTAGTTTCAGTTACTTGCCTTCATAAGCTTCAGTTTCATATTTTTACATGCATTTAAATAGAATGAAAAAGAACATTTTACATAACAGATCTGAGAAAAGCACCCCATGATCTGAAAACAAAGCACATTATTCTAATAAAACTGAAGAAACCACGGTTCATGATTTATTTAAATCAGTGTTCTGATAAAAAATCTTTAAAAAAAAATAATCAAAAAAGCTAGTAAAAGGTTTAGGATATAAAGGGCATAGAAATACTGAAATACATAGCTTCACAAATGTTTCACCTGTTACACTATATGCTTATAGGAAAAAGATTTACTATTTTAAAAGTACTATTATAGTAGGAATAGTAATACTATAATGTGCTCGATACTGAAAAGGTGGTTCATATTGCAGAGCACTGCAAAAGGTAGGAGATGAAACACAATGTTTAAAGTCTGAATTATGTGGTCAAAGTAGTGGAATAAGTCAAATTAAATTAACAGGACACTGGAGACCAAAGTTGATCTCTCCAAAGATTAACACTTTTATTCACACCATTCTTCTTACTTAAGAAAAAGTAAGACATATTTGGTTCTTTATGCGAAGATAGCAATGTGTGACGCTTAGCAAAGTAACTGTGTTATTTAAATTACATGTCTAAAATGTGCTTTTCCACACTGGTCTCCTGAGTCATGCCCATAACTAAATATAAAACAAGGCACAAATCTTTCTCTTCTCAGAAACAGTTTCTCAAAATAAAATACAAGAAAAAAAAGACAAAACCAAACAGCCACTTTCACCAGAAAACAAACCTCACTTCTTCCACACATACTTATTTTTCTCCAGAAAATGCCTTTACTGACCAAAAAACTCTGTTGACACCATGAAGGGTTGTTAGCAAAAGTTGCTTTTGCCAGCACAGTCTTTCCCATGTCCTTGTGTAAGTACCAGTTTGGCTGGTAAACCCCTCTGCTGCCACCACCACCATTCACTGCTGTGAATTGGCAGCCCTATATTGAAAAAAGCTCATGGACATTATTTTACTTCCAGTGGCAAAAAGAGTTTTGCAGAAGCAATCCCATTCTGCTTCTCCTGGGAGACTACAAACCCCACTGCTAAGGGGTCAGTGATCAAAAAACTCTTCAAACTACCCAGTAGGTTCTAAATTTGCCGCTATTCCTCCTGACTCCGTACAGGTAGAAAAGTACGACTGTGCAAGGACAGATCTCCACCTAGACCTCAAACAACAACCCTTGATCTCCAAAGCCATGGAACAATTGATAATCTTATCCTGACCATACAGCGCTATTAAAAAGAAAGATAAATTTTCTCATAACCATATATAAGCTGCAATTAGTCCAAAAGCTTCCACCATTCCACATTGACTTTATACATACACCTAACAAAGTTTCATGACTGTTGATACTTTCCATATATGATCAATTTAAATCTGAATGAGTTTAAACATTTATTGCCAATTAAGGATGTGGACATTTCTTGATTTTGTTGGGTTTTTTTTTTAACAAAGCTTCTGAATTCCTAGAAGCCATCAATGGCAAGGTCAGCCAAACAAAATGCAGCAAGAACAAAAAAGCTATGCTCTGCTCTACTATGGCATATTACCGAAATATAATCTCTGAGG